CTGGAGGGTGTAGCTGCCACACATTTGCATTCCAGCGATTGTGAAGCCCTCAAGGCTTGAAACATGGGTCTTGATGTTTTCTGGCTTCTGGAAGCATTCGCCAGGCGTTCCGGGTGATGCCTTGGGCACAGGAAGACATGACAAGGACTGGCATCTCTCAGGTGACGAACAGCTTGGACGACGAGCTCCTCGCGGCCGTGGCCTGCCTAGATTGCACGCAGAGGCAGAGTGGGGGCCCGGAAGAGATCAAGGCATCTCTTCAAGTTGCCCTGACCCATTTGGTCGCCAACTTCCAGAGAATGGCCATTTACTCGGCATCACTCTACATCTATGCGATGCAAGTGTTGCCGGCAGGAGAACATAACCAGGTTTTGTGCTCTTGGGCTGGAAACCGAACGACTAGTGGGTTGGAGTTTGAAACCTAGGAATGATGCAGTTGGTTCATGCTATGAGGATCTTTCTTTGCAATTGCCCACGCATTTGACGCTACATTCTGTAGGCTTCTCTTGGACTTGCGCAAGCTTCATGCTACGTTCTCGGATCTTCCTGAGCACTTGCCCACGCGCTTGATGCTACGGTCTCGGATCTCCTCTTGCACTTTCCCACGATTGATGCTACGATATGGGCTCTTCTTTCGTACTTGCACACTTTATGCTGCATTCTAGGGATCTTTTCTTGCACTTGCACACTTTATGCTACGTTCTAGGATCTTTCTTTGCACATGCCCGCACGCTTGATGCAAAGTTCCGGGCCTCTTGCAGTTGCACGCTTGATGCTATGTTCTAGGATCTTCTCTTGCACCTGCACACTTCATGCTACGTTCTAGGATCTTCCCTTGCACTTCCACACACTGTTGATGCTATGCTTCTTGGCTTTCATTGATTGGTCTGGATGATGCGCAGGCAGAGATACCATCAGTTGCATCACTGCGAAAGTTAGTTGTGCCGAAAGTTAGTTGTGTCTCTTGAATAAACATTGCTTCCCGAAGCTTCGTTTTTTTTGGCCGTGCGCCATACGTGTGATAAAAATGCGATTTGAGACATGGGTGGTATATCCTGGGCCAGCATGAGGTACCATTTTTAAATCCTACTTGTCCAACTTCCAGACTTAAAAAAAGCGTTTTTCCTGCGACGCCAAGTTTTTCGAGATTTCAAGTCTATCAGCCTACAAGCCTATAAACATCAATAAGTCAATAAACCTTCTAAATGCCCATCTCTTCTTATTTTTACCCACGCCCCTCGTGCCAGACATCTTTCCACCCACCTGCTGTGAAGGTGAACCCAGACGCGGCCGTGCATTCTGCTCTGAGAACTGCGTCCTTCTTGCAAGACATGGCCTCAGAAACTGGATTCACTTGCTTTTTCTTCGTTTTGCAATCCAAACCCATGGTTTTTGTGTTCTTGACAGCAGACCCAGCGACCTAGGGACTTCCGAAGGTGGGGCTGGAGTGAAGCGACGGCCTAGAACTCAGAAACCGAGAAACAGATGTTTGGAAGACAGGCTTGGTGTGACTGGGCGCCCAAGTAAAGGATTCGAGTGCACGACGCCATCATCCAATGCAACGGCATGTTACTGATTCAAAGCGATTTGATCGGTAATGGCTACCCCAAAACACACAGTTTTGAACACTTATTGGGGGAACAAAATCATGGTTTTGGGGGGGTTTACTTTTGCGCCAACATGTGACCAGATCAGCTTAGAACCCAAAGTGACACACCTGGAAACATGTGTTGTGGGAGTGCAAGCTTCCCCTATCCTCAAAACCTGTGCTGTTGCGTTATTTCTGCCAAGGTTGCAATGAACATCCAGATGCAGCAATGGCTCCCAGTTTTTTGTGTGCCCAACAAATGGTTTCTCATCGCTTGAACCTGGGGCGTTGGGGGCATCTCCAAATGTTCACACTTTTCCGTCCGTAGCTTCAGCCCCCACGAGCATGGTCATTTGTCTGACGCAATTTTTGAAAAATGGTGTTCAAAACTTCAGCTGCCCCAGAAGAAAAAATGTCAAGTCTGCAGGGTTTCACTATATGGGATGAGCTTGCAGTTGTGTACTTTTATTTGTCATTTGGACTTTTCCAATTTGATTTGTTTGTTGCATCAAGAAATCTGGATAGTGGTGTCATTCGGCATTGTGTAATTGTTGTATTTTGTTTCCATCGTTTTGGTTCAGAGATAGGGTGTTTTTTTCACTTTGTCAACATGGCAACTTATTTTGTGAGGTCAAGGATGCATGGTGTCTGACGGGGCCCGCCAAAGCTGACTAGATTCTTGGACCATTCGTGCTGCTGATGATATTGTGTGGCAGCAAACTGTGACCAGGTTATATACACGGTGCATCTCCTTACCAAATGCATTTTTTATTCTAATATGAGGAATCAACAAATAAACAGCAATCATGATTTCATTGAAATCGTCTCATGACCCATCCGTTGACCCCGACTATTTCTTTATATCACTTGATAATCAGGGTCAGCGTGCCCACACTGCAACGACATTATTGAAAAAGGATGTACAATAGATAGATAATATATAATATATAATACATAATATAATACATTAATATGCACTCAAATTCGCTTTCACCAATTAGGTGCTGATGGCTTGTTGTTGCATCACAGGCACCAGCCATATGAAACCTGGCTAACTCAAAATGCAGTGGTAGGCAAGTCGGCGAACACCGCCACCAATGACAGCAAATGCTTCGATTGAAACAAATGACATGAAAAGGGGATGCGGATTGATATGGTGTCTTTTCAAACTCAGAGATCCCAAACAACAAAGGATGAGTGCAGAAGTGATCCGAACTCTTCGCACAAGACTGGGTGCTGCGCACTTAACGTCCGTTTTGAACGTGATTCTCACGCATGCCCTCGGCCTGTTTGAGACAGCGGCAGTACTGCATACGATTTTTCGAAAGTGATGTCTTTCCCAAATGGTCAGTTTTTTCCTCTGCGGTAGCCTGGCTTTAGCTTCGATTCACTGACTCGAAGATTCCCCTGCTCATCCATTGGACGTTTGCCATGGAATGGTGCTGGTATGTTTGTGACTGGATGCAGGAGATGGTTTGTTCGACATTTGAAACATTTCTCAATATTGCAGTGTTTGGAGACTTCCAACTAGTCACTAACTAGTCTAGCACTCACTAGTCTAGCATTGTTCTGACTCTTTGAAAGACATGTGGGCCAGGACATCTACTGTCGCCTGCAAAGGAAAGCAGATGTAGAGAGTCTGCTGTACTTGCATGATAGGGTCTCTTGGTCACAAGTCGCAAGCGAAACTTGCATGATGTGTTGCATTGAAAACAATGTTGCATGGTTTTGGAAAATTGCATTGCATGTTGAATGCGACGTGGATGGCAAATACTGGAGGTCATGCAAACTTGTGAGCGAATGGACGCCTTGGCTCAGATGCAGGCGAAGCATGAGGTTTCCATCGCAGGCCGAAGATGTGAACAGTGGGCTCTGGTATGCTGTGATGATGTTCACTTTTTAACTTTTGAAAAGCTTGCCTTGGAACATTCCGTTGGCTTGTGGGGGCAGGTCTAAAAAATGAGTTGATGGAGCACCGGCTTGACAACAAACGGTTGTGGCCGCTGAAATTCAACATGAAACTTGGACAAGCTTCGCTCTTGATCATTTTGGTCGCCGATTATCGCCTAGTTCTTGTGGTGAATCCCCCTTTTCAATTTTGGCCGTTTTTAGAGTTTTGAAGCTAAGTTTCAAGTGCGACGTGGCAGACGTGGAAACGGTTCAGTCTTGTTAAAACAATGCAATGTAAAACACTGTAAATTGCAGTGACCAATGTATTTTGAATCTTCATGCTCTCTTGTTTCTAGTGTTCAGACTGGCCAGGAACTTTGGAAATGGAGTTATGAAATTGGCCAAACCAAAGATTGGCGGAAAGACCTCGAACATCGAGTGCCTCCGACTGCAATGGTGAGCCTAACTATCCACCACGGACTGATCATGAAAAAAGGCAGGTCATCAGAAACAGGGCAGCCCGTCTTTGCAATCATTTGCCACTACCAAATATATTTGATGCTTTGCACACATTCATAAGAGAAGAGTAAGAGTGAGTTGGGCGCTTGCAAATACTCAGGTGGCTTGCCTGAGTACGAATTCTTGGTGCAGCGGAGCTGCTACGGAGGAGTGCGCCATGGCGACCTAGAGCAGTTTTGCACGTGTTTTCGCCCATTTTAGCCTGCTCGTTTCTTTTGCCTACTTGGTGAGATTTGGAGAGCTTTTGGGAAGTTCAAGTGATTGATAGCTTTGCAACACCCCAGGTGCTCATCAAGTGCTCCGATGTGCAAAGCCAGCACTTGCCGTGCAACACTTGTACAAGGGTCAGCGGAAGCAAGCCCACATATTCGTAATTAGATGTGTCCGAGCGGTCCGAGCCTTCAACTTTCAATGCTTTCCGTTTCTGCTTGTCGGAGTTTCCCACATCATTTCTTACGGAGTTCCAGCTGTTGTAGTTTTTAGGGAGTCCCGTTTCGTGTGTGCGAACAATTGCAAGCCTGGCCAGGAGAAGTCTGCGGACACGAGTGCCAGTAGCGACTTCAACATCACCAAAGGTCATCATTTTCGCGTGTGACATGGGTGTGTTGCTGATTTGATTGTTTGCCTTGATCCTCCACTTGTTTCCATGGGATTGCAGTTGCATAATTTCTTGTGCTGATACTGTTGGTTTCGATCAGGTGCCAGAGAAGTGGCAGCAGAATTTCTGGTTGAATGCCCGAAATCAGATCTGTTGGAAGAGAGCAGGCCATCAACGTACCTGGGCGCCCGCTAGTGTGCTGGGCGGACTCAACAAAGCCAACAGAATCAACCACTGCGATTTGCCATGCTATTGTCGAATGATGTTGAACGTTTGAGATAGGCATTTCTTGTTTCAATTTGCTCAGGCAGTGTCCTGTTCAACATTGGTCTGCGGACGCTGCGGACGATTCTGATTTGGAGTTTGAAGCTCGTCATCAAGGCTTCGAGGACGTCTGGGATTCTAATGTACGCCTGTCATTTGGAAGCACAGCGAAGCCTTGCAGTGCGTTACATATCATTTCTGGCAGCGCGCAGCCACTCGCAGCCGCCCCAGAAAATTCCAAGCAAGTGGCTGCAAGTGGCCACCCGAGAATATTCCAAGCGAGTGGCTGCAAGTGGCGGCTTGAGATGAATGCAGGGGAGTACCACCCCGTCAGAGGACGTCCCATATTGGCATCCCCCAGATGTCGTCGGGGGGCAATGCGTCGTCACAATGCGTCGTCAGGAGTAATGTTGTCAGTTGGCACTGCATCGTAAGGCAATGTGTGGTCACAATGCGTCGTCAGGGGTTAATATGTCGTCAGTGGACAATGCGTCGTCAGGCAATGTGTCGTCACAATGCGTCCTCAGGAGGTAATGTGTCGTCAGTGCAGGGGCAATGCGTCAGGCAATGTGTCGTCACAATGCATCGTCAGGGGCGGGTGTCATTGTGAATCTGTTGTCACAATGCGTCGTCAGCGTCAGCGCTGAAACTCATACCCAAGCTGCGGGCGCCCTGTATATATATATATTTGTAAGTATATACATATATATATATATATTTATATTTGTAAGTATATACACATATATATATATACATGTGATCTCTATACCAGTCAGTGGGGGTGGTACTAAAAAACAAAACGCTGCCAGGGTACTACAATGGTCAAGCCAAGATGGATGGTTTTACCACAGTCTCTGCAGCTGCAAGTTGGATGGTTATAACCAAAATCAGTGAGTATCATGATCATCTGCTGACCCATTTGCAAAGACTTGAGCAAAAAAGGCTTGAGATCAGTAAAGCTTGGGGCTTGGGCCGCCGGGTGCCCAGGTGGGTGCCTTCTATGAAGGCCAGCTAGAGGAACAGGAGGGTGCCATGTGGAGGATGAAGGTTGGTTCCGCCAGGCGAGCACACAGGCGTCACTGCAAACATGTTTTTTAACACTTTACATATGTGCACTGCAAAAATATATTAAATACACACACACACATATATATATATGCACACATATAATACATATATATATGTATATATTAGATATACATAATATTTTTAATATTATATGTATTTATTTTTACACATATAAAGAATATATATTGTATAATATGCACAATATTATAATTTAGTGTATGTTGAATACTATACATGATATTCCAACATTGTAATTGTATGGAACAGTACGTATGCAGCTGCAGCATTGCCACATCGTACTCGTTGAAGAGGATTCGGCGAATTCTACGACATTATCCGATTATCCTTGCTCAATTCACAAATGCGGCCGCAAGAGTCGTGAAATTGTTTGCATTGTGTACAGTGTACGCATTAATTTATCTTTTGTTACGAATACATTTCGTTGACCTCATGGGCGTGTGCGTGATGTGGTCGTTCATATCAGTTGCACGAAAATCAATCAAATATTTTTAGCATTTATCACCTAAACGTCTTGAATTTCTGGAGGACTGAGGCGTGCATGTTGTGATGTGCCTGCAAGGCTTTTGTGTGTTTGCAAAACGACATGTACTTTGTATATGGTATATATGATACACACTTAGATACTTTGTATTCCATATACTACATACTATAACACACTATATACTATATACTATACACTATACAGACCATACAGCTACCTCCCACCCCCTCCCACCCCACCACAGGCCACACCAACAAGGGGGGAGGGAGATTACTGACAAGAAGACGGAAGAAAACTCACATCCACAGAGGGGGGGGGAACAACCCCAAACTTCGAGACCCCATACCCATCCCCTTCCATTGGGAGGGGGATTGAGCGATGCTGCACCATATATATATATACATATATATATATATATACATATATATACATATATATATACATATATATATACATATGTATATACATATAAAAGGATATGCATATACATAGGCACATATATATATATAAATAAATAGATACACATATATACATACATGCACACACATACACATATATATATAGATACACTGCGTATATATAGATACACAGACACTGTATATGTATATATAGATGTACAATGTATATATATATAACATTGGGATGGTAAGCAAGAAACGACCAGGAGGCAGCAAGACATGTTTCGTTTGATCCCGGTCCAACAGGGCCTTGGTCACAGCAGCGAAGCTTCGAGCGCCAACGGTGGGGCAAAAGTTGTGGGCACCTTGGCAGGTTGAGACAGTGGTCATTCACTATAGTTATGGTTGATAACCATAGCTATGGTTAAAACCATTTAACAACTATAAAACTATTGCTAACCCCAAACTATGGTTAATAACTATAATTATATACTTAACTAATAATTAACTATAGTAATTAAAACATTATAGCTATTGGTTAATAAATTTGGTATAGCTAATTTATCCCATAGAGTAGCTATGGTTGATAACTATATTTATGGTGAACCGTAAGTTATTTTCGTCCAGGGTTTAAGGCACGAAGTCTCCCCGACAAGAGATCGTATGTGCTCGGATTCGAGAATTATGTTGGTCCTAGTACCTTAAGCCAGAAACCACATAGCAAAGAAACCTATGAGGAGCAGCAATGCTGGAAGCGACCCAAGGATTTCTCCATTTCTGTCTCAACATGGACGATATAGCCATTTGATGCAGATTCAACCATGGAAGGTAGGTATTTAAGCATCAACAAGAGGGATTTAAGCAGTGATGTCTCCGTTTGGATGTGTCTGAAAATGGAGCATACCCCCGACTTGATGACAAGGTTAATGGAGAAAATGACGGATACACCAAATTTCCCGAGCAACCCATCTAGGGGTTTAAACAAGCAAACATGGGCAGGTTAACCAACAGATTGTTTAAGATATGAGGTGGTAAAGCCATGGTTGTAAGCCTATCATTTTAAAGTTGGGTTGATAGTTTTGGATGTACCGCAGAAACACACCATAACACACCAAACGTGGGGCAAACAACAGCTGAAATAGGAAGACTTAACCGACCAGCATTCTGGAGACTGTGTAGCAATCATAAACAAGCAAACCCGTTTGGTCGGATTTTTTAATGTTGGGAAACCAATCACCAGGCGCCCAAATTCTTGTTGGAAGTGGGGATGATTACAGAATTCACCCCACTTCAACACTTTCTGGGAATCAAATTGGTTGATGACTGCAGGGGTCATGCTACCCAATATAGTGGCTATCATTATATTCACCACGCACCTTGATTTGTTGGGTACGTAAAATTGGCCACAACAGTTGTTCCGTTTTTTTATGTTTCCTGGGGCAGTTTCTTTCCACCTCATGGTCTCATGGAGGGTAGCTACACTAACCCTTTATAGCACTGAGTGACCCTTTGAAGAAGGACTTGTGATAGAATAAACATCATTTGTTGGCCATAGATGCGGGAATGTCATACCCGGCTAGAATAAAGTTTTCTGCAGAGCATCAGAGATTACGACTGTAGTACTGAACATACCAGCAGATTTCCATCTACATGGCACTACCAGGGTGGTACTACCACGATTGTTGAATGACTTTTTTCTGCAGTCGGGCACTCCTTTTAGCCGGTTCTTCCAACAAATCGGATCAAATTGGTGTCTGAAAATTCACACCCTCAATTGTCCATTTCTTTTTTTTTTGTGGCCAATATTTCATGATAAACACATGCATGTCAGGGGTATTCCATAGTGAAACCAGCAAACTTGGAGCGACCTGAACACGTGCGATGGAGACAAGCATCCAGAAATTCGGATATGGCGGAATTTGGCGAATGATTGGGGATCCGCTGAAGGTTGTCTATTGGGATTTTCCAGTCCTACCTTGAAGACACGGCTGGATGAAAGAAGTTCCGGTATCAAGGGGTTGAACTGCCGCATGTTTAGATCGCACTATGATTGCAGGACCAGCCGGTGGAGTAGATGATCATACTGTCAATGTGGGTTTAGGGTTTGTTCTGAAAATGACCTTGAATGCAAGATCCCAATTCCCATAATTCCCTCAGATTCTCACCATGATTTTTCATCATTGTCCATCATTGTTCTTGTTCATCATTTTTCATCATTCTCATCATCTGACTATAATTGTAATTGAGGCACCAGAGATAGAGATTGGCCGGTAAAGATTGGACAGTTGCAAGGCTTCGGATATCAAGCACACACATGACCATTTGGCACGAAATCCGAACCTGAGCTCCCAAAAGAAAGATGCGAATTATGGTTCACATCTCAAGATACGTCACTGAAATGGTTTTAGGCAAAACCTAAAGAAGACCATGGTTATTGAAGCTCAATATCGGGGCTCCGTCTAAATTTTCTTTTAAACCAGTCCTGACAATATCATCCAGTGGTTGGGACGGTTGGGACGACTCGACATGGGGAGCGTTAGACTAAAACCCCGTTAAGTCTCCCCCGTTAAGTGGGTCTTCCACCAGGATTTGGATGGGAATTTCTTCTGGGAATTTCTTGGGTAAACGAAATCCCAGTGGGTCCTTTGGGGTGAATGATATAAGATTATTTGCTTGTTGATGGTTCTCATACGATTTATTTAATTTATTCTTCATCCAACAACTGGGATGATGATCCCAATGATCCCAATGTGTGGTTTAACCGCCATTGATTCATACATTATTGTTTGTATTTCATGGATACTCCATGATGACTCGGATATGGAGGTTTCCTAAAATGGGGGTACCCCCCAAATCATCCAAGTCATTTTACCATTTTCGTATTGAAACCAATGGTTTTGGGCATATCCATACCCTGCATCCGGATGTTGCCGTGCATCAAGGTCAGAATTCTGGCCGCTGATCTTAAACCGCCCAGACTGATCCTTGGACCAGATATGGGGATGGCCGGATGTTCAGTGTGTAGATCCTTCACCTATGTATATGGAGGTTTCCTAAAGTGGGGTACCCCAAAATCATGCAAGTCATTGCTTTTGATCAATGGGAAAACCAATGGTTTCGGGTTCCTATGTTTTAGGAAACCCCCATATCCATATCAACACCCCTCTTGAAACATGGCTGCCATGCAATGAAAAACACGGGTAAATATATGTACTGTAAATAAATCAAACAAATATATATATATATATATGTGTGTGTGTGTGACACACACATATATATATCATTTATATGTAAATATGTACGTGTGTATTATTATGTATATATATATATATGCAAATATTTGTAAATATATGTAAATATGTGTAAACGTATGAAATATATGTAAACATCTGTAAATATGTAAAGATATGTACATTAAAGATACAAATATATGTAAATATATGTAAACATATGTAAATATATGAAAATATATGTAAACATATGTAAATCTATGTAAATATCTGTAAATATCTGTAAATATCTGTAAAAAATGTAAATATATGTAAATACATGTAAATATCTGTAAAACATGTAAATAGATGTAAACATATGCAATTATATGTAACCATATGTAATATATGTCCAATGTAAATATACGTAACTATATGTAACTATATGTAAATATGCAAATATATGTAAATATATGTAAATATATGTAAATATATGTAAACATATGTAAATATATGTAAATATATGTAAATATATGTACATACTTCATGTATGTTTGTATCCTCAGGTGCCCAAACACTTTTACTTACTTCGTCAAACACATGGCTTATATTTTCAATTCCGAGCAGCCTGTTGTGCGCGGTGAATTAGACGTGAAAATGAAGAAATCCATACTCGCAACGGTTCGTTCTGAATGTAGGCTATCAAACAGTCTGTTTTGAATGTCGGCTATCTTTTTCTTCTCACAAATCTGAACCATGCAGCCCTGGAAGACCCAGGGCCTTTGCGCGTGTGCTGAATTGGGAGGACTTCCCGCTGGCTTTGGGAGAGCTTTGTTGACCAATTCGGAGTGACCAAAAGCAGGGAATATCCAAACATGTGACATGGATTCAATGGATAATGGGATCATCGGATAATCTGTGGAGTATGGATCATCTATAAGGATGGATCATCTATAATCTATATGAGTCTATATGAATTTGAGTAAATTTGAATTTGCCCACTTTTTGCCATGATTTTGGTGCCCTTTTCACGCCTGTCACATTGTCTCGACAGAATTTTGGCTCCAAACCAAGCATCCGAAATCGTTTTTTCGAAAAGACCGACCCAAAATTGGCGTGCCGCTTTAATCGGCAAATGCATGAATGCGGGTTTTGGTGGGTGCAAAGTCAGTGCACATATGTGCACATGTTCATTCATCGACCTGCAAATTTCTTTGATTTTGGTTCACCACTCGTTCAGTTTTTCTATACCCAAACTTGCAAAGACCAACGCTTAAAACAGTCGACATGCAAGCTGGATACATGTTATGGACTTAAGTATCCATATGCAAGTATGCACATATAATTGCATAGACTTTGCATCCATGCATGCAAACAAACATTACATAGTTACTTCATGTTACTTCCTTGATTGTCATATCCCCATTTTTGCATTGGTTCGCACGTCTTTAGTGTCTGCACTGGTCAACTCCTGCATGCCTTCATTGGAGGAGAAGCAGAAAGACACGAAGGAACTGCAGCAACAGGTGCCGCTGGAGCAGTGACGGGTGGGCGACCGATCTGCGTGAGCAGACCCACATTGTGGGTCATCTCACCCAGTACCCCCGTGGTTCACGACGCAAACATGCTGTCATAAAAGTCGCCAAGGATGGAAAAAGTGATGTTTCACATCATGCTGTCATATTTCAGATCCGTTTTTGTTTCCCGCGGCAGGTGGAGTTGCAAACGCCCATGCCCCGTGTGGGTTTTTTGGTTCGAGGGCGTTGGCTGGGACCTTCCTTCCGCGCAGTGAACGAGCGGACCAAGGCGGCATAGCAAAATGGTGAAATGGTTTATCACCCTCAGCTGTACAGAAAAACATTCACCATTACGAGTCACACAACGATATAATGCTATATACGTATCCATATAACCACATCTACATCAGCTTGTACCCCCCATCTTCAGTCCCAAGTTGGTCAAGTCCAGCTTATATCAGGATTGATCGTGGATGGGGTGACTCCACCATTTGAGCCCAGCAAAACAGGTGGACCCAAGAAGGCTGAAGGCAGTGGCTCAGCGGGTGGAAGATGATGATGTCATGGTCCCTTGGCCCGGCTGGAAGAATGATGATGTGTTCAGGGCTTCATACCTGGATTTGGAAATATGGAGGTTTTCAAGGATCTGTTTGACAGGAGGGGGGATGTTTGATGGATTCCCTCCCGGCCAAGTCACTTTTGAATGATGCGAGGAAAAGAACAGGAAACACTAAATATTTCCCATCAACTACATTCAAACATATTCTGGTTGGTGGTTTGGAACATGAATTTTATTTGCCATTTCATATATGGGTTATATAATCCTTCCCATTGACGAACTCCATCATTTTTCAAGATGGGCACATTGCACCACCAACCAGTGGATTCTCCCTTCAACCAATCCGATGAGAATCATCCAACTTCAGGACATCAGGATGGCGAAAAACCAGAAATACCCAGAACATATTTAATGTTAACCCCGGATGAGACTAAACCATGGTTTATGAAAATTAGGGTTGGGTACTCCTCCAATAGTCAAACTTCATCTGATACTTTTGAAAATGGTACCCTCCCAATTAGTCACAGACGTAAACGGGGTTTATTAATCCAGGGTTGACATTATGGCAAACATGACCAAATGATATCTGTGTGATGTGTGGTATCCAGGGTATCCAAACTTTGGCCCTACGGGATTTTTTCGCCACATAAACGGCCATCAACACCCAGGGAACCGTGATGTCTATGTGGGCGATGTTAAAAATCAATTGTGTAGGGTCAACATATTTTGAAGGACTCCACCAGATATGACCCGGCTTGTAGCTACGATCCACTGAAGCTGGAGTCACCTTTAAATTGAAGGATCTTGTGGGGTTCTATGGTTGTACCATGGAGATGAAGGGGTCCATCTGGAAACAACTACACATGTATACCCGTGTCCAAATGTTCTGTTCACCCCAAATAGATAGACAAGTTTTTCAGATAGTAGTTTTTTTTCTATTCATTCTTGAGCCAGCAGTATAGGACACAGGTCAAAACATTCGAACCTAAGATTGGATGGTTTGGACGACATTGGAGATCTGTTTTCATGCTTAGATATGCTTATATAGATAAGACATCCATTGGATAATGTGACAAAACCAATAACAGACGTTGTTTTAGGTCTATGAAAAAGGATTTAACAGCGTGGTTGCAACATGTTGCAACATTCCCAAGTTACAGCCAGATTGGCCTGGACAAAGGTGTTAATATCATGTAATGTGGGTAAAACAATGTCATAAACCAGCCAAGACTGGGAATGGTAAGTTTATACCACATAAATTGATGGTGATGACTGGGTGATAGTGCGTTTATGGCATTGTTTTACCCACATTACACTGATATACATAGGGGTTTCCATAGTCATGGTGGTACCCCTTGATCGCTGGATGATTGATTTCCATGGGAAAATCCATCTATAAGTGGATGATACCCTCTGGTAATTTGTTACATAGCTATTTTTCGGCTTGGCCATAGAAATAGTTGATTTACCCACCAAAAAATGGTGGGTCTTTCCAGTTCGCTATGTAAACGTTGACCAGGCCGGGTAACAGTCATGGGGGTACCGTCTGACTGGTTTCGGAAAGCTTCGAGGTGGAGCTCCAGGAGATCCCTTGTCTTGGTATTATCAAGTCCAGCAGCATCATTGCCTGTAAGGACCCATGGCGATGCTTACTGGGTGACAAAAGTGGCTCCAGTTGGTGGATGTTGGTAGTTGGTGGTTGTTTTAGTTGGTGGTGACCTGTTTTTGTTCAGGACTTACCAGGTAAATTATTCTGGGCGATATGGGCGATTTTTTCGAAATGCGACCAGTATTCTGGTGGTATTCTGACAGGTCGACAGAAGCTGTGCACCTTCAAACTTCGCACAACTCACAGCTCGACCCTGCCGGGGATTAGAATAGATGTATTCAAAGTTTCCACTCAAAAGATTGTTATTTGCTTATAATTATATGTATATATATAATATGTATATATAATATTTATATAGAATGTGACTAGTAACTAGCCGCCTTACATATTTTCGCTACATTGAGATCATAAACAACCTCTGAAATGATGGCGACGTTGGACGCCAGGAGATGGATCCAGCCAAACTGGAAGGCGCCTCAGCTGCTTTTTTGCTGGTGAATCAAGTCATCACGGTCTGTCAAGGGGGGTCTTTTGGGGGTCATATTTTGTGTCTTTTATGGCATTTTATTGGTTGCCTATCTGGTTGGTGGTTTCAAACATGGCATTTTTTTATTTTCCATTTCATATACGGGATCATTAATCCCTCCCATTGACGAATTCATATTTTTCAAGATGGTTATTGCACCACCAAGCAGCTATAGTTTTCCCTAGCAAAGTCTGGAGCAACCCTGGAGAAATGGTGAAGAGAAGTCACGGTATTTTGGGTCATGGAATGGGCCGCAGGCAACTGCCTAGTTGGGAATGGATCAAACCTTTTTTTTAACCCAAAATTTTGGGGAGATTGAATATCCATGTGCCAGCTATTTTGGGGTTGATGTGGTTTTGAATTTTGGGGCACCAGGGTTTTGAATGGTTTTGACCCATACCCAGCAGGGGTTCTGGCATGTCATGGCCCTTCAGATCCCAATCTCAGGTCATGTCACAACATTTCCCACCACCAACATCCTGGGAATAGGCTGGGAGCAGCGTGAGACGGTGAGGTCTTCCAATTTTTTTCGGTTCCCAAGAAGGTTTTTGCTGCTTCTTAAACAGACGTTCTTTTTGAGTGACATGATGTTTTTCCATGTTTTCTCTGTCTCAAAATCGTTCGAACCATACTTCTCCAGCCAAGTGCAGTATACTAGAGCCAACAACAATACTCAACAATGAGGTCCCCCCAACTGACTCTGGCAGCCACGAAAAAAACATCCATTTTCAGGTCTGAGCGCTTTTGTGGAGTTGAGGATGCCCACCATTGCTTTGGAGCGGCTACAGACAGGGGATATGTTGGAAGGTGGGGGAACTGGGGGGGACAGGCCCTGACAGAATGATGCATTCAATCCCATATAAAGTCAATGGATTTATATGGCTTAATAGCGATAATAATGGGATAGTGATGGGATAAGCCCATCCAAACTATCAAATATTATCAAAGATTCATCCAGAAACTCTGGTTTCCTACTGGATTTACTCAAGTTAGCGCCCCCAACATAGGTGATTACAAGCCCGCTCAAGGCATGCTAGATCGGCTGCTCAGCGACAAGAGACAAGCCAACCTGGGCGATGAATGGATCATACACCTCAGCATTTTGGCGGCAGGGTGGCTTGACTTTGGGTCAATAGCAGGATAGGCCAATTGATAGCCCAATGGCAACAAAAAACGGGACATGAACCAATGGGGCTACATCACATCTATGGAGAATGAATCAGTCACGAGACTTGGGGCGAAAGCCTGGGTTTTGCCAAAAAGCGAGCAGTGCTCTCCAGGCCCTCCAGGCTTCACGCCCATGTCCGCCGTTTCCCATATGATATATATATATGTCATATATATATAATATGATTATATATATATATTATATTTAAACAATTATATAGTAATACTCTATATATATAATGGTATCATATCAATCATATCCAAGAGCAATAAACAGAATATAACCGAATAATCATCATATATCATCAAGAACAATCATATATATATAGTATATTATATTATCAATAAATATCAAATCAATGAACCGTCTAGTTGTTGACACTGTCATTATCACGACATGGCACAATAAACCCAGCGGACCGGAAACTGTATTCGTAAAAATATAGAGTTTTTTTTTCCCAAAAAGAGCTTCTCACTTTGGCGAGACGCCGATTTTTACATCTCAGTATGACACCAAAAAAGGTCGGCAAAATTGAGACGTTTTCGCGTTTTGCCACCGTGACAGCTCATTTTCACTGGCCCGTTCAACTGCACTGCAAAGACACATTTTCTCAGAGGATGCACTTCAAAGCTTCGATGGTCTTCTTTTGCACATTGCCATGGAAGTTGATGTACCTCCACTGCCAAGATTTGCAGTAGAGAATCAAATTGCGGCTGTGAGATGACAAACAGTTGGGAATGTATTGTCTCAATGCAGACCATGCAGCATCAATCAGTAACGTGACATCAAGAACGTAGCTGGAAGTTGTTAGAAAAGATAGTAACGTAGTTGTTAGGACAAAGGACGTTAAGAGCCCACCCCACCCCACCCCACCCCAAGAACAACTGTTAATTTTACGAGCACGGTTTCGGTCCACTGGCCTACTCAAATATCATCATATTTGAAAAACATATATCAACATATACATAACTATCACAATCATCTGGTCATATCTGGTCCCAAAACATCATATGGAGATTTCCAAAGTCATGGGGGTACCCCTTTTCCTCATCCATTTTAGTGGGATTTTCCATGAAATCAACCTTCCAACGATCAAGGGGTACCACCATGACTATGGAAACACCCCTATGTATATCAGTGTAATGTGGGTAAAACAATGCCATAAACGCACCATCACCAGAGTCATCACCATGAATTTATGGGTGGTATATTTTCACCATATGAGTAGTGGTACGATGGTTACGATCAGGTTTATATCATCATCAACACCATATAGGTGGTATCAATAGCCATTTCAGAAACCGATTTATTGGAGGTACCTACCATATATAAGGCATATATAAGGCTTATGTAAGGGAATATCCCCACAAAATGTGGCCAAAAATATGGTACTAACGTACCTCCATCAATTGGATCCTGAAATTCCCATATAGGTGGTATAACTCACCATGTAAACATCATCAACATGGCCTCATCTCCTGGCCATGGCTATGCTCCCCAGACTGCGAGCATCGACGTCAATCCGTGGAGGGCCGTTGGCGTCTCGAGACACCTGCGGATCTGAGAGCCTGGGAAAAAGTGAAACGGGGGCGTTACCAAAACGGGAATGGGGATAGGATTTCATGGGGACTTCATGGGATTTTATGTGATGTTTAATTGATTTAGTGTATTTTTTTGATTTTAAACGGGATATAGCTAACCAATTATATCAATATGGCAAAACTTTTAAGGGTGAAGTATAAGAATTTATCCATATATGATGTATTCTATGGGATGTATTATATGCAATTCATGAGAATTATCGAGGATACAGTGGTTATGATGAAGTATGATGAAGAAGGATGAATATATATGCGATACATATATATATATAATTTCATGGAATACATAGCCAACAATCTCCGATGGGTTTGTGAAGAAATTTTAGTGCATACAGGGTAAAACCCAAAATAGTTATTCTTCATGGGAGACACGATATGATAACATCTGTGTCTTTTGGGACCGTCTGGGAAGTTTGGACCGATATAGATCCTATGTTTTCCAAACACCATTTGAATCTTCAGCCCAGGAATTCTGAATAAAATGGGTTTAAATGAGATCTACGCCAAAACAACTGGGATATAGCCTACCCCGCATTTTTTTTTTACCTCAGAAATATGGTGATCTAACCAATCGATGCTGCGGATAGCACTGAGGACTCAACAGGGTTTTGCGCAAAGGAAGTCGCATATGCAACCTCAAGGTGGACGGCGGATTCATGTCATGGGAAGGCCTCAGGTGGTGCCAATTTTGGCTCATAGCATGGTGAAAGGTTGATGATGCTTTTCTGGATGAAAACTTCAGCACGAAGTTGTGGAAAAATAGACAACCAGCACATGTCTGAGTCTTTTTTTGATTTGTGCTTCCTTCATGCACCCAACGAGTTAGGTTTTCACTTGGATGTTTCCATCATTTTGTAGAGATCCCATGATCTTTCAAGAGACAGGAAAATATGTGCAAATTCCCAACTTCCTCACTTCGGATTCCTCCTGTATCGTCATGGATCAACGAACATGGATATGGAAACCCCCGGAAACCCCCCATTGGGGGCCCCCCATTCATGGAGATTGTTCAGGATTTTCCAGCCAAGGTCAGGATGTTTCCCATCAATGGCTGTCCATCTGACTAAACGCCTGGTACCCGGGTTCTCACACCAAAATAGCTGGTAAATAGATGTTCATTTTCCCAAATATGTATAAGTATGTATGTTTACATATAATATGTAATGTATGTATGTAATGTAATGTAATGTAATGTCATGTCATGTCATGTCATGTCATGTCATGTAATGTAATGTAATGTATGTATGTATGTATGTATTTATGTATGTATGTATGTATGTATGTATGTATGTATGTAGGTATGTATGTATGTATATATATATATGTATATATATATGTATATATATATATATGTATTTGTATTTGTACATATTCATACGCATTGATCCATAGCCAAATGCAAAGGACTCCATCTTCAAGAGCTGATTTTAGATACAACAATCAATTTTCGATCATCAACTTATCATCAACCATTCTATATCATATGATGAAGATATGGTTAGTTGGGTACGGTTATGGTTGTATGCATATATATATATATGATTGGTCATACAGTATTGCTTGAGTATATCTTTATATGAATCTATATATACACTCTAGGGTGAAACATAGATGTGGAACATCAACCATTTGTAGACGATTTTCCTGGGGAAACCACGGTTTTCCACATTTTTTTGTCTGTTTACCCTAGGGTAAATCAACATTTCCCATTAAATCACCATGACATCACTATGAAATCCGATGAACAATCACTGTTCAATGTCCATTAAATCCCAGTAAATCATGATTAAATCACTGTTCTTATCTCCCATGATCGCTCCCGAAAAATCATTAAAACCAATTAAAATCCACTATATCCCATCAAATCACCCCTAGTATCCCATTAAAATCCCATCAAATCACCATGCAATGTCCATTAAATCCCATTAAATCCCATTCAATCACCATTAAATCCCATTAAATCACCATTAACTCCCATTAAATCCCATTCAATCACCATTAAACCCCATTCAATCACCATTAAATCCCATTCAATCACCATTAAATCCCATTCAATCACCATTAAATCCCATTAAATCCCATTCAATCACCATTAAATCCCATTCAATCACCATTAAATCCCATTCAATCACCATTAAATCCCATTCAATCACCATTAAGTCCCATTAAATCCCATTCAATCACCATTAAATCCCATTCAATCACCATTAAATCCCATTCAATCACCATTAAATCCCATTCAATCACCATTAAATCCCATTAAATCACCATTAAATCCCATTCAATCACCATTAAATCCCATTAAATCACCATTAAGTCCCATTAAATCCCATTCAATCACCATTAAATCCCATTCAATCACCATTAAATCCCATTCAATCACCATTAAATCCCATTCAATCACCATTAAATCCCATTCAATCACCATTAAATCCCATTCAATCACCATTAAGTCCCATTAAATCCCGTTCAATCACCATTAAATCCCATTCAATCACCATTAAATCCAATTCAATCACCATTAACTCCCATTAAATCCCATTAAATCACCATTAAATCCCATTCAATCACCATTAAATCCCATTCAATCACCATTAAATCCCATTAAATCACCATTAAATCCCATTAAATCACCATTAAATCCCATTCAATCACCATTAAATCCCATTCAATCACCATTAAATCCCATTAAATTCCATTTTGATGCTTTTTCTGCACCCCTGGTCGATGGCTAGCCATGGTGCCATATGGTGCCCAACAGGTCCTCAGCATCGACCCGACACAGAAGCGCGTGCAGTTGAGCCCCACGGACGCCCCGGGAGAGGGGTTCTGATGGTTGGAGATGGTGAAGGTTTGGAACAAAAATAAATAGGTTGTATATGTAATTCCCAGTCATGGGTGGTTTATGATTGTTTTACCCATATCATTGACATTGTTGGATATGTGCAAAAGATGTATATATATATATGTATATACACACACCTTCCAACAATGATTTGATGGACATAATCTATATCTATATCTGTTGAAATTTACACCTCCACATAATTGTCACACAACCACTGTGTTGTACGTATGTTTTGGCTCAAGGGTAAAACAGTTGAGTGTGCTGTTTGCTGTGCATATTTTCTGAAAGTGGTAGCGGAGCACTGGCTCCGGTAAAGGGCTCCTTGGGTAAGTGATACCAATGGCTACCCCGGAAGAGCAGTTAGCTCAGTTGGCGGATCGAGTGAATCAGCTTGGACAGTTGCTCCAACAAAGCCAAGAAAGGAACGCTCTGTTGGAAGGCCGCATGCAAGGACTGGAAGCGGCAGGAGCACAGATGGGACCCGCAATTCAAGCACTGGCAACAGCACAGACAGAAGTCGCAAACGCAATGAAGAAAGATGAAAAGAAAATCAACCTAGTGGACAACAGAGGAATTGGAAAGCCGGATAAGTTCAGTGGTAAAGAGAGTGAGAGCTACCTCAGATGGAGAATCAAGACAGAGTCATTCATGTTTTCAGTGTTCCCGGAGATGGAGCAAGTACTGAATTGGTGTGAAGAACAGGAAAACACTGTGACGGAAGCTCGGGCCCAAGCTGCTTTCGGCGTGGGCACGGCTAGTCCAGTGGATGACCTGAAGGATAAGAGCGCACAGATTTATTCTGTGTTGCAGAATCTACTCGAGGGAGAACCGTTCATGATTTTGAGGAATACAGAAAAGGCCAATGGACTCGAGGCCTGGCGACGTATCAATCGCCGATACGATCCCTCTACTGGTGCCAAGAAATCAGCACTCTTGAGGCACATCTTGAATCCAGGAAAATGCAAGCTTGAGGAACTCAGTGAGAGGATTGAAGGATGGATGGAGCTTGTGAACCGCTACGAGAGCAGAAAGGACAGCGCAGGAAACAGACAGAGCATAGCTCAAGACATCAAGATGTCGATCTTGGAGTCCATGTGCCCTCCAGAGGTCGAAAGACACCTACAACTTAACAGAAGCCGTTTCTTGGACTTCGACGACATGCATGCCGAACTCGCCAGCTACCTTGAAACACGAGTTGGAGTGAAGCTCAAAATTGAGTCACTTGGCAGCAAACCGAAAGGTGAAGATGACATGGACATTGGAGGGTTTGGCAAAGGTAAAGGCAAGAAAGGCGGAAAGGGCTCCAAAGGTAAAGGCAAACATGGAGGCAAAGGCAAAGCTAAAGATAAAGGAAAAGGTAAGTCGAGTGGAAAGCAAGGGAAACATGGTGGCAATTCTGGCTCAAGCCTGTCCGTGGTTTGTTTCAACTGCGGAAAGGCTGGACATTACCAGAAGGATTGCAGGTCACCCCCCAACAGTAGCAACAACAAAGGCAAAGGTAAAGGAGGAAAATCCAAAGGAAAAGGGAAACAAATCAGCAGCATGGAACAACAGGGTGAACATCAGGAACCTGAAAGAGAGGCCGAAACCGGCTATCTCGAGCTTGCCATGTTGGCTGCAGTCTCGGACGACGAACCAGTACCGGGAGAAGTCGAAGTACCGAATGTTGGATTGCCAGATGCAACTCGAGTAGAAGCAAGGAAAAGGTACCGAAGACTGTTGAGAGAAGGAGCTACGATGACATGGAGAGACATTCCGATCACAAGGTACAGACAAAGACTTGCGGCATCACTTGAAGCTGCAAGCAAATACCGTGGATCGGTTGCCCAGTCGATGGCTCAGATGGTGTTCCGCCGAGAAGGACTCGAAGATGCCTGCAGTTCATGCGATGATCGTGCAGGGCCATCTACAAGTGCAGCAATGGACTATGCTGCAAGGAGGTCTGCCCACGGAGTTGGGTCGGCTGAAACTGGCCAGGCAGCGCCGGAGATCCGAGAAGAAGATGAAGATACTGTGGATGATACCACAGATTCTGAAGCTGAAGATGAAATCGAAGATGAAGCCGAGGCTGAGACCAAAGAACCAGAAGAGCCTGATGAAGATCCAGGATACGAAGCTGAAGATGACGAGGACGTCGAAGCTGTGATGGAAGGATACCTTGATGAAATGAAAGAGTATGACATGGATCAGGAAAGAGAGAACATCAGGAAGATCCTGAATGAAGCCAAGGAATTCCTCACGGCTGAAAAGGATGACAATGAGGTCCAGAGGCGATTGGAGTTGGAGAAGTTGGCAAAATCGCCGGAGAAGGATGAGAATGAAGTGGAAGCAAAAGATGATGAGAAACCAGTCACAAAGGAAACGACCCTGCCTGATTCAGGCAGAGTTGTGACCCCGATGACTGGCATTCTCATGCATCGTACCATCGAAGGACTTCAAGTTGGCCGATTGCACTATGAGAAACGTAAGTTGGCCGAAATGATCGAAAATGCTGAAGATGAGGAAGAAGTTCAAAGACATGAGCAACGCATCAGAGAAATTGAAGAGGAGTTGAAGCAGTTACGCAACTACATCTCAAAACAGGATAAGAGTACCAGAGAAAATCCTGTGAAGATGCTGCCCAAAGAGAACCTGACGGATCAGCAATGGCATGATGCGCGCTACTTCAGGGCTATCGCAGCAGGAGTTCCGCACAACGAAGCATGGCGTAAGGAGAAAGCACGACGCCGAGCTATCATCCACCGACAGAAAGGTGTGGGTGAAAGAGCTGAAGTTCGAAGGGAACTACATGCCAAATGGATCAAGGAGTATAGGACCAGAGCAGTGAAAGAGGAGGAAAAGATACCCTTAGACACAGAACAGATCGGGTACCAAGACATGGAGACCGAAGTGATCAAGGAAGGTGAGGAACCAGGAAGTTCAATGAAAGTTTCCAGTGGAATGTCAAGAACGGGATCCTATAAGGAAAAGAAGGTGTTCAGACCCCTCACCAAGGAAGAGTTTGAGTCATTCCGACAAGAGACAAGGGATGACGAACGAAAAGTGATGGAGAGAGGTCGAACCGAGATGAGAACCAAGAAAAAGACCAAAGGAAAGACAGTTGCGAAGAAGCAGAAGAGGAACATAAAGAGAAAGGAAAGGAGACAGCGTACCACAGCCTGTCGAGCGTTGGCATGGGAAGGAGAGTGCGAAAGGGACCCATGCCCATTTTCTCATGACCAGGCTGTCATCGATGGATTGAAGAACCAACATTGCAGATTCTTCTTGCACGGTTCGTGCAGGTATGGATCGAAATGCAAGTTGCTCCACGACGACAAGGAGATGGAATTGGTACGTATGGAGAAGAAGACGAAACAGCTCATTTCTTAGCTTGAAATGCGACCACCACCAGCACCAAAGAAACGAAGAGGTGAGAAGCCAAAGGAAGAAGAGGTGAAGACTGAAGTAGAAGATGAGGCAATGCCAGAAAGACCTCATGAAGATGACATGGATGATCCCGAAGAAGAGAGAGAACTTAGTGTGACCACAGGGATCAAAGGACTTCGGGAGTTCGAGAATCGCACTGAGGATCAGATGTACATGAACGCACCATGGCGAAATCCGGGACTCTTCGAAAACGAAGGCAAAGGCGACAAAGGTCGCGGAAAGGGCAAGGCAAAGAGAGGAAAAAGGAAATCCGGCCGAGCTGCGTCAAGTGCTGCAAGGGTTGATGCAGATGATGATGATGATGCAGTAACCACTAGGACTGAAGATGAGATGGATGATGTTAGGATGACCAATGCTGAACGTAGAGCAGCAAATCCAGGGGACGCTGATGAAACCCATGGAATCATGAGTTGGGCGGATTTGAACTCGTTCGAATCGAAAGAGTTTGAACCAGAACTCCAGGGTTTGTACAAGCATGTGGTTGTCAATTTTGACACTGGAGCAGCGGTTTCAACCTTACCGCTGAAAGAGTTTGGAAGGTATGCATTCGGTGAAAAGCAGTCCACCCGCTACAAAACAGCCTCAGGTGAACTACTTTCTGACCATGGCCAAGTACAGTTGTATGGCAGTGACGCCAACTACACGGACAAGAGCTTGAATGCGAGGGTGACCGATGTGCACCGCATCCTGGCTAGTGGGTCGGAAGTGTGTAAGAGGAATATGGTAATATTGGACAACCAGGGTGGTAACATAGTTCCAGCTGGGTCGAATGCAGCAAAGAGAATCCAAAAGTTTGTAGACCAAGTGTTGAAAGAAGAAGGTGGGAAATCCACCAAGTTGCGAATTGAAAGGGGTGTCTACGTGTTTGACTACTGGGTTGACGAAGACACCACAAAGCAGAAGTTGGAAAGGAAGTCGGGAAACTAACGGCAGGGTTGTCCGTAAGTCCGTTAGAAGAAGAAGAGAGAATGGAAGAGTCGCCAGCGGAAGCTGGGGCCCCTGCTGTTTCAGCAGAGGACCCGGCAGAAGCTGTCGAGGTACAGAGGCCAAAGGTCGCAAGGAAAAATCAGCGATCCAACAGCCCAGGAATTAGAGGAACATCTTGCCACAGCCCACGCAGTACACAGATCGTGGTGTGGCCATTGCATGAGAGCTCGTGCAACGTACGCAAAGCACAGCTCAGTTTCACGGGATGAGGACAGTGAAATCCCAGTCGTATCAATAGACTATTTCTACTATGGTGAGAAGGATGGAGAATCAACGAACTTGCAGGTGAAAGACAGCAAGTCAAAGATGACGTGGGCGACTACAATACCCACGAAAGGACCAGACCTGTTTTCAGTCAACTTCATGTTGGCTTGTTTGAACGAAACAGGGTACAACAGGTTGATTCTGAAGAGTGACGGAGAACCAGCAATCGTCGCTCTGAAACGAGAAGTGAAATCCAAAGCAGCAGGAATTGAGATAATCCTGCAAGAAGCACCTACTGGGGACCACAGTGCCAACGGTGCAGTTGAAGTCGCAATCAGGGACGAGAAGCGACAGTCAAGAGCACTTTTGAGTGAACTTGAGGAACACTTTGGAAAGTTGGAAGATACGCATCCATTACCCACATGGCTAAGTAGACACGCGGCATTTTGCCTGAGTAGATTCAGTATTCAAGATGATGGGAAAACCCCATACCAAAGATTGACTGGAAGAAAATGGAACAGACCTATGGTGACGTTTGGCGAAAAGGTCTATTTTAGACCGTTGGATTCCTACAGGGTTTCCAAGGAAGGTGAATCCGAAAGAAAGAAAGGAGATCTAGCAAGTAGGGTCATGAGTGGCCACTACGTTGGAACGCACGGCAGGAACGCCGATGTGTTGGTGATGACAAGTCAAGGTGTGATTAGAGGCAATACCGTCCACAGGAAACCAGAATCAGAGAGATGGGACCGAACGGAACTCAAAGAATTGAAAGGTACGCCCTGGGCGCTTCGCCCAAGGAGTGCCGAAGATGTGGAACACAGGTTACACATCACGTTGCCTGAGACAACACAGAGATTAACCCCGAGTGTGCGGGATGGAGGTCCCAGGAATCTGTACGTCCGAAAGAAGGACTTGGAAAAGGAAGACGGTACAATGGACTACACACCAGGTTGCAGAGGTTGTGAGGCAATCATGGTTGGATTGCCAGCAGTTGCACACAATGCAACATGCAGATACAGGTTAGAACAGAGGTTGCTACAAACGGAAGAAGGAAGGAAACGTCTAGCAGACGTCGAGAAAAGGAAAGAGGAAGGTACCGAAAAGAAAAAGGCAAAACAAGTGATCACAGGAATGCCGGATCCCACTGAAGGTGAAGTGAGATCATCAGTAGCACTTGGACAACCTGAAGAACCTGAACAACCAACATCACCGAAAAGGACAAGATCAGACGGAGGAAGAGTCGAAGGTGAGAAGAGAACAAGGTCAGATACCTTGAGGTCAGGAAAACGGATACCAGACAACATCGATGATCTGTACTACGATGCTCAGGAGCAGGAGGGGCCGTTGGTTGTTTCAACCAGTGGAACTTCCGAGGGACAAGCGGTTGCTCCGGCTGTTTCAGCCAGTGGGACTGCTTCAGGATCCGCAGCCCCAGGTGCAGACATGAGTCATGATCAATTTTGGTCACCAGTTACATCGCCAAGTCACGTTAGAGATGTCCAGTCGTTGTTTCACTTTAGTATTGAACCCGACGAAGATTGGGAAGTTTCATTGCAAGATTTGAAATCTCTTGGAGCACATGATGTGAGTGAAATCTTTTCACCACCCAGATTGACAGAGAAGTGCAGGAACTATGGACTATTGCCAGGATACGCAGTTGATTTGGAGACTGGATGGAACTTGTTGAATCCAAATCATGTGAAGAGTCTGGAAAGGATCTTGGACGAGGAGGATCCATACCTGGTAACTGGAAGTCCACCGTGTGAAGCGTTCTCACCGCTTCAAGCTCTAAACGCAGGGAGAGTTGATCCAGCTGTTCGACAGCAAAGGCTGGAAGAAGGCAGAAGGATGCTAAAGCAAGCATGCGAGTACTACAAGCAACAGTCAAGGAGGGGTAGGTACTTCCTACACGAACATCCAAAACCAGCAGCCAGTTGGAATGAAGAATGTGTCAAGGAAGTTCAGAACCTACCCGGGACATTCACAATTGAAGGACCAATGTGCAGATGGAAAATGGTGGCTAGAGACGCCAGTGGTGAATCTTATGTCAGGAAAAATACCAGATGGGTTACAAATAGCCCGGAGTTGGCTAAGATTCTGTCGGGCGTTTGCTCGAACGATGAAGGAACTGGAGAATGGCATAGACATGTTCATCTCGTCAATGGACGTGCCAAAATGGCACGGGTATACCCACCAGAACTGGTGAAAGGAATACTAAAGGCCATCAAGCAACAAATGAAAGCAGATGGTGAGTACCGAGAAGTGAATGCATTAGATGCAGGACCAAGCCCGGATGACGATCCACATCTTGAGGACTACGAAGATGAGTACGTACCGAAGTTTGAAAACAAAGGCGACGAACAGATCTTCTTTGATGAGATCACAGGAGTTCAGTTGGAAACGGAGGAGGTACTGAAAGCGAGACAAGAAGAACTTGCTTGGGTGAAGAAACAGGAAGTCTACGTCAAGCGACCAATAAGCGAATGTTGGGCAATTACAGGAAAAGCACCCATCACGTTGAAATGGATTGATCGCAACAAAGGCGATTCAACGAAGAAGAACTACCGTTCACGTTTAGTGGTTCGGGAAGTGAAGAAGAAACATGGTTCACTCCCAGGACACCAGCTGTTTTCGAACATGCCGCCATTGGAGGCGGTAAAGCTACTATGCTCAATGTTAGCCACAAGTGGCAGTAACGAGCAGCTGGCACTTTACGACATATCACGTGCACATTTCTATGGAAAGGCACAAAGAACGGTATACGTCACACTGCCACAAGGTGACGAAGAAGAAGGAATGTGCGCATTACTGCAGCGCACCATGTATGGCACGCAAGACGCCAGCCATGTCTGGCAGTCAGACTACAGCGAGTTGTTGAAGAAACACAATTTCGAATGTGGAAAAGCTTGGACATCCGTGTTCTGGCACAAAGAGAAGAACATCAAGCTGCTAGTACATGGAGATGACTTTTTAGTCCTGAGTGACAAGGCAGGACAAGAATACATGCAAAAGGTTTTGCAGGAGAGATACGAGTTCAGATGTGACGGACTCATTGGAAAAGGTGGAGGAACACATCTGACAGTCTTGAACCGAATTGTGACCTATGACCACGAAACAGGAAAAGTGACATACGAAGCCGATCCAAGACACGCAGAAGTGATCATCAGACAGTTGAACTTGGAAAATGCGAAAAGTGTAGTGACACCGTCAGAGAAGAAAAAGAGCAGTGAAGTGCTGGCATCGGTAGGTCTTCCACCGGTGACGGCAGAACAGACCACACTATACAGAAGTCTAGTGATGAGAGCACAGTTCTTAGCACAAGACCGTGCGGACATAGCAGAAACAGTGAAATCACTGACGAGAAAGATGAAAGCACCAAATGATGCAGACGTCAAGGACTTGAAACGATTGGGTAGATACCTGGTCGGAAAACCAAGGGTCGTGTGCACCTACGAACCTCAGAGGACACCCAAGGTGATTAAAGTCTACACTGACAGCGATCATGCGGGTTGTTTGTTGACGAGGAAAAGCACAACAGGATTCGTTGTCATGATGAGACAACATTGCATCAAACATGGATCGAATCTCCAATCGACCATTGCTCTGAGCTCGGGAGAAAGCGAGTTCTATGCACTCGTACGAGCATCCGCAATTGGTTTGAGCATCAAAGCGCTCATGCAAGATTGGGGAGCCGAAAGGGCATTAGAGATCTACAGCGACAGTAGCGCTGCACGCGGTACAGCGAGCAGGCGAGGTCTCGGAAAGCTAAGACACGTCCAGACCCGTTATCTATGGATCCAGGAACGTGTGGCTGAGAACCATCTGCGGATCTGCCCGATCGGTACGAAGAACAATCTAGCCGATCTATGTACGAAACCCATAGAACGCGAAACTTGTGAGAGACACATGAAGAGCATGTGTCAGGAGTATCGTCTAGGGAAAGCTGTTGGAGCAAAGAAGTTAGAATCAACAAAGGTGTAGCGAAGCTAGCACCTGCGTTGAAGGAGGGGTGTTGAAATTTACACCTCCACATAATTGTCACACAACCACTGTGTTGTACGTATGTTTTGGCTCAAGGGTAAAACAGTTGAGTGTGCTGTTTGCTGTGCATATTTTCTGAAAGATATCTATATCTATATCTATATCTACATACAAATCATTATTGGGAGATATACTCCTATGAAAAGATCCATTTGGAAGGTTCTGCCAGCTGGATGAAATTCTGTCAACAAGTCCCATTCTCTGGGAGGTTGATCTGTGACCGTTCGCAGCGCGGGTGGAAAGCTGGGACACATTGCCTGACTCAAATGATTCAAATTGAAACGTGGAATCCCCTGGCTTTCAAACTGGTTCAAACCGCATGTGTTTGCAATGGCAGAGTTGCTTCAGCCAAGAAACCCCCTCTTTGTACAGTGCTTTCATGCCTCAATAGACTCAATATCCATTATGAGCTGGAACGGAGTCACATGGCTGAGTGTATTTTCATGAATGCATCCCATCCACTTCCCTGCGATTTTCAACGAAGATTTCGCATCAGGAAGGAGAGGTGGTGCAGTTGCAGAACAACCAGGTGCTTCAGGTCTGGCCTTGCCTGTGGGAGTTGGAGCGAAGGAAGATCCATGTGGAGTTGATTTCAAGTCAGCCTGGTTCATTGTTCATGGCCCGCAGGGTATCGTGGGGAAGATCTTTGAGTGACCTGGCAGCAGTTCGTCGATTTCTTTGTCAACCGCAACAACCAACGACCCCACTGGCAGTTGACATATAATGACACACACACAGATATATATATACAGTGTGTATATATATATATACACGTATATGTATGTATATATATATATATATATTTCTTTCTATTTATATATATGTATATATATATGTATATATATATATATGTATATACATAGAAATCCACCATTCATGCCATTCCTGAATTGTTTCCTGGGAAAAGATGATTTCCGAATTCCTGCGGGGAAACCATGGGTTTCTCATCTCGTTTGTAAGTGTTTCCCAGGGTACCCCCCCAGCATCGGCGGGAACACTGGAGGTATGGCATTTTCTTCGAAGTCGGATGCAGGCACCACGTGGGAGATCCATCAGAGCACCATGCGTCGGGGGTCCCCAACTGAGTGTTATCCCACCATCCCAAAAAAACATCGAATGGAATCACCATCCTCCTGGGGCAACGGGTCCAGGAAGCGGGTCCTCTGCAGATCCTGCCATTTACTGCGGCCTGTAGACGAGCCTGGGGAGCCAAGCACCGTGCCAGTCTCACAAGATGGGGCTAAAGACAGAGGATATCAACCACGAACATGGGGGAAACCAGAGATTTTTAAGGGATAGACCCAAGAATAGTGGATGAAGTGGAGATGTAAACTTATGTAAACCTGTAAACATCAGCAAACTCTTTGACAAGTAGCCATTCAGTGTTTATCAATCCCAGCTGGGCCAGAGGACTTCTTTCAGCCAATGAGGATACCCATACGAAATACCTCACTGGCAATCAAACACCACAATATAGTAGAATTCCCCTAGTTATCAATGACATCTCCAGCTATAAACATCCATTTAGTCTGCTATTTAACTCAAGAATCAACTCAACTCGCTGACCAAGTCACGAACTGGAACTGCTTTTTTAATGATTATATATATATAGAGTATATTTAACATGTTTAATATAATACATTTTAATAATTATGGTAAACCCAACGTCACAAACCATCCCTAAATGTCTGAAGAATTCACCATTCAAAACTCACCAGGATTCACCATAAATCCTTGATAACATATCCTGAATGATCCATCATCAGAGCGACAACATGATGATTTCTGCATGATCCATCATCACAGTGACAGATGTATCATCGGAAACATGGATCATTCATCATAATCATCATCATCATCATCATCATGATCATGAAAAGACATTATTATGTATGGATGTGGATTCCCCCCCGGACATTTCCAATCAGCCACACCTGTCATCACCGCTTGAGGTATTCCGAGGGCCAAGTGGTAAGGCGGCTCTTTGTATTCCAGACCAGCGCCATGTCCTTGCGGCAGCGCCCAGATTGGGGAGATGGGCCAAACGAAGCATGTCCAAGCTGGAGAATGGGGATCTAACATGATCTAACCCAGCGAAAAATTGGCATTTTCATGATTTTTCATTCAGGAAAACACAGAAAACATGGCAATTCATCCCAAACAATGTGCCATGCATCCACAGAAATGGAGAGAACTGGATCCGCAGATGGCTTTCATTCAACATCGATTGGCAAGAAACATCACTTAAAAGGGACTCAAGAAACTGGCCAGTTGTATCAGTTTCTGGCCACTTCAATGGGTATTTCCTCTGCAGAGGGTTGTATCATGTTGTACCCCCAAATTGAAGTCTGGAGGTGTCCTGAAATTTTCAGGGTAGCCCCAAGGTACTATCCTAACTTAAACCATTAAAAAAAGTGATGGAACATCCCATTAAAAAGGGATGGTACCATTAAAATATGCGGTTACATTACAAATTTGTGACCCTGTCGCACTCAGGTTTTGCAAAGCTTTGCCTGGCCAATGCGTTGGCTCAAGGCGACTCAAACTGAGATTGCCAAGGAAAACAACGAGGTGTCATTGGGACGCGACTTTAGTTGTTGGAGCCCATAACATTGGGACGCAACTTTAGTTGTTGGAACCCATATCCACCTGGTTTGTAGCCTCCCGTAGGTTATGAGCCCAAGCTTATGCTGATGGAGCGTCGCCGCCGTGAAGCAGCTGATGCTTTCTTGCAACCTGCTGGTGATGGAGCAGGAAATGGCCAAGCCGTGGCTGAGGAGTCAGCTGACCAAAGGATGGACAGGCTGATCCATGAACAACAACAAGGTGGTGAACCAGCTGTGAGGTCAGTGAGGATCTCGATGGCAGCTGGCACTGATGCTAGCGATGGTGGAGGACGAGCGTTGGAGGACGGGACCCGAGAGACCGGACATGCAGCTCAAGCTGATGGAGCTGTAGCTACGGGTGAGGGTGGATCGCTTCAGCTCTTGGAAGGCCTTTCGCCTGAGCAGAGAGGGATGCTTGCACGCGCTGCTGAAGCTCTACGTGCTGGACAAGTCCTACAACTAGAGGATGTGGTGAGGAGACCCGACTTTCTTCCACCTCCTTTGCAACTACCTGATGTGCCTGTACCAGCTGGACATCAAGGCCAAGCTGATCAAGTTCGAGGACCTGGTGAAGGTCAACATGCCGATCGACGTGAAGGAAATGATTCGGGAGCCCGAGATCAAGCTGATCAAGGAGCCAGTGGACATGGTGGTGGCCTTCTTGGACCTCTTGCGCTACGCCCTGGTGAAGTTCTTGGTGCTGACTTTGTGCGGATCTTCCTCCAGTTGGACAGCCTGCTGCTCTTCAACCACTAGGTGGACATCTTCAAGGTCCTGGACATGCTCAACAAGGTCATGGTCAAGTTCCATATGGTTCGGGACAAGTTCAACAAGCTCTTGAAGAGCCTCGACGTGAAGTTCAGGAGATGGTGACTCCACCAAGGCAACCAGCGGTGAATGTGTTCTGGAGTGAGCGTGTTCAACGGGCTGTAGAAGATGGAGTTCCAGGTGATGTGATTCACCAACAACCTCAACAAGGTAACCGTGGTGGTGAAGGACGTCAAGGGGTGTCTCAACCTCGAGCTCTTCCAGCTGAAGGGACGCAGCCTCTGGCAGTTGGAATTGAAGGCCTCACACACCAGGACCTGTTGGAGTTGGAGTTGCTTCAAAATCAGGCGTTGAAAAATGTTGAAACCCAAATCCAACAAGAAATAGCTAGGCGTAAGGCGCCAGCTGGGGGTAGTGGTTCATATGGGACACCTCAAGGGGGAAGTAGGAATGATGAGGGGATGCAACAGCCCAATATTTCTACTCCACCAGGGTTACCTCAAACCACCTCTTTTTTGGGAAATCCACCAACGGGTAGTCTGAAAAATGTTTTGGGGTTTGGACACATGCCTGTGACCCATGGTGACCTGAGGATGCCAGGGTGTGTAGGAAGTTTGGGGTCAGGGTTGGGAGTTGATGGAGCTCAGCACCCTCCGGGGACCGCTACAGCTCAAGTTGGGGAGTCGTTTGCAGAAAGCCTGAGGGTTTTGGAACTGCCTCGCTTGAGTGAAAGCACAACAGCGTTGTCTCTAGGGGATTGGTTGGCTGTAATCGACCCAATCATGTCTGACCTTAGCTCCACTTCAGGAGTTTGGTGGCAGTTGATTGTAGGTGCTGCTCAGGATGGGTACCGCCAATGGATCTTGTCAGGACCTTTGGACCGACTGAGGTTACGTCCACCGGTGCCTGCTGAGGCATCCAAGTGGCCACGCACTGAACAACGAGCGGTGACCATGCTTCTAGCTTGTCTTCCCGAAGGAGTTCGACGTGATCTCATCGCTTCTCGGCGATTATCAACGGTCGAGATCATCTACAAGCTGCTGATCACGTACCAGCCTGGAGGTCCACAAGAGCGGACTGTGCTCTTGAAGGACATCACTGAGGATCGTCTTGGAATCAACCCGTCAGTGCAGGAGGTTCTCAACACCTTGAGGATGTGGAGGAGAAATGTCAACAGGGCGAACGAGCTCAAGGTCACCTTGCCGGACACTTTGGTGATCGTGGGCGTGCTGACCAAGTGGGCAGAGCACATCAGTCGACTTGGGGGAGCTCAAACCGCTTTTCGGGTTGCCACACTACGTCAAGACCTCAAGTTGGACAACCGTCCGGATGCTGACCAGGTGATGTACTTTGCGGAGGCCCTCCAAGCTGAGATCGAGCAGGTTGCTTTGTCACGGCCTTCAACGACCTTGTCATCAACGTCTTCAAGCTCTGACGTGAAGAAGAAGGAGGTTCCCAAGACTGCATCGCTCAGGACTGGTGGGGATAGCTCCGCTAGGTGCTACTGGCGAAAAACCAAAATGTAAGTTTTGGGGTAGCTCAGTTGGTTGTAAAAGGGGAGATAAATGTGCATATCAACATTCATGGGAAGGAATCCAACGTAGTGGAAGATGTTATTTTTGTTCGGGGGAGGGTCACATGAAACCCAATTGCCCTTACAAACCTCAAGAAAGGGATGGTGATCAGAAAGGAAGGATCTCAAAGGTCAATGCTGGCACAACGAAGGTTACCCCTGGAGGAAAGAAACAGACCTCAGGAAAGGATGCCCAGGTTGTGCAGCAGCCAACGTCCTCATCCTCTACCGGATCCACGGAGGAGAAGACGGTGTCTAAGGGTGTGGAGGAGATCCCAGTGGTCCCATCAACTCCGGTCATCGATGTGACGAGCCTGATGAAGTCGCTTCAGAGCCTGAAGGCTGTGCAGCTTCGATTCTTGGATGGTGGTGGTTCGAACGAGCCCCCACTGGACTGCAGCCCTCCTTGATGGAGGGGCAACACATGCTCTACGTCAAGGTTCAGCAGCGGAGCTACGTGACGCTCAGCCAGTATCTGTAGAACTTGCACATGGCCGAACTACGCTGTATCGTCATGATGGATGCAGCACCCTGCTCTCCAAGGAACCCATCGAGGTGATCTTACCCATGCGCCTCTTGGTCGAGAACGGCTACCAGGTGAAGTGGTCGTCAAATGAGTGTGTGATCGCTCACCCTGTCAAGGGAAACCTTCAGTGCTGGCGTCGTCAAGGATGCCCAGTCATGAGAGAAGATGAAGCTCTACTGCTTCTGGAGGAGCTGGAAAAGGTCGAGACCGAAAATGGGTTGGGGGTAGAAAAAGATGTAGAAGAATGGTGGCGGAAGTACTTTCCGCAGGTCCCTGATGAAGTTCTCCAGAGAATGAAAGGTCAAGGGAAACACTGGTCAGAATGCAGTGGTCCACCCTTACCATGGAATAGAAGGAGACGCCGACAGATCGAGGCCTCGAAGGGGGTGATTCTACACCTGTTTTCAGGTGGTGCGGTGATGTCCAAAAAGTGGGAGGGGTTGCGGAAGAATGGCTATGAAGTCATCACGCTTGACATCTCCACCAATGCCGCGGAGAACCTTCACAACGCCACGATCTGGTCCTATTTGTGGGACCTGGCGTCCCGCAACAGGTTGCTTGCCATTTTGGGTGGACCTCCCTGCAGAAGTTTTTTTCGTCTTCGTCATCAAAGACCAGGACCTCGACCACTACGTGCTAGAGGTCCACAACGCTGGGCGCTGCCAGATCTGAACCAATGGGAACTTCAGACTGTCACGGATGACAGTGCTCTGATACTCAAGATGCTTGGCCTGTTTGACCGAGCAGTGGAAGTGGCCCAACCGCATGAAGAACGTGCTTTCTTGATTGAGCACCCTGCTGACCCTCAGGATTATCTTGGCGATGATGCCTCGATGATGCCGTCAGTATGGGAATGGGAAGAGATTCGGGAGTTTGCCCGTCGACACCAATTGAACGTGGTGAAGTTTGATCAGGGCCGAACAGGCCACTCACGCCGAAAGCCAACGACACTGATGACATCTCTTCATGCTCTCAACGAGCTGGACGGTCTATCTGGAGGGGGACATGAATCTCTACAACCGGATCTTCCTGACCGTCTTCGTCAGACTGCTACCTGGGCCGAATGGTCCCCGGGCCTAGTTCAAGTCATCAAGTTGGCTCTTCGAGGATTCTTGGAAAAAATAGACCAGGAAGCTCAAGTGAAAAAGATGAGCCTTGACGACTGGCTCAACATGTGCGGCAGAACCATGTGCCTTTTAAGCGAGATTGTCGAATCTGCGTCGAAGAAATGGGTCAAGATGTTCCTCACCGTCGCAGAAAACACCGTGGAGCTGGTGATGCTGTCTATGTCTTGGCAGTGGATGTCGCAGGCCCCTTCGTCAAGGGATGGGACTATGGTATGGCCAAAGAGGCCAAATATGCACTGGTGGCTACGATACCTGTGCCGGTTGGATCGCGCTTGGCAGATCCAAAAACCTCGCCATGTAGCGAGACTGAGGCTGCTGATGATGGCCTACATCCTGAAGATTGTCAACGTGATGGAGGTGCTGGCGACCACGATGGAGATCTACCTCTACCTTCAGATCCTCTTCAACCTCTTCCTGAACTTCGTGAACGCGATGGTCCAGATCCTCAACATGAAGGAGATGCTGTCGATGCTTCTGGTCATGGCCGCGATCAAGCAGTCATGGACCGTTTGAATGAAGAGTGGAAAAGACAGAGGGACATCGCCACCAAGCCCATCGACATCCAGAATATCACAGTGGTTGAACCACTTTCGTCACGGGCTACGAGGGATGTGTTAGAAGCCTTGCATCGGGTCTACGCTCGTTATCGGAGCCTGGGAATCCCGATCTATCGACTGCACTCGGATCGTGCCAAAGAACTGATCAGTGCACCAGTTCGCCAATGGGCAGCTCAGAAGGGCCTTTGGCAAACTTCAACGTCTGGGGACGACCCACCTTCCAACGGCCGTATTGAGGCTGAGATTCATCAATGGAAGCGTCGACTACGACTTACCTTGAGGACCTCGGAGGCCCCAACTACAGAATGGCCGTCGGTTGGTCGTCATGTGGCATGGGAGCGTATGAATGCCCAACTTGCCAGGGTAGGACTTGCCAGTCCACCATGTCTCAACTACAACATGAAGGTGATGGTCAAATGCAAGTGGTGGCACAAGCTGAAAACCAAAGGCATTGCCAGCCCCTTCCAGGAAGCCGTCATCAAGGGCCCAAGCCCGCTTATGAGTCACGGATGGGTGGTGCTCACAAAAAAGGGCAGCACACAACATGCTCGGGCAGTTCTTGCGATTGACCCCGATGCTGAAAAAGCCATGTTGGAGCTTGTGGAGAGCCCCACCAAACCCACTCATCGCCTGACTGAGAAAACTTCACTGACACCCAAGGTGCCACATCCATCTTTGGTCGACCCGTTGGACTTCTCCGTTTTGGAGACTACAGAATCTCCAGTGGGGGGAGCCATGCTGGCTGAGGTGGAGGATGATGGCTATGAACCGAGCATTCTTCCTGACGATGCTGTGCCAGGGGATCTCTCTGAACTAGCCGACCTCGGCTCGGGGGAGCTCAACGATGAGAAGGTTCCGGCTGTGTCAGCCGGGGGGAGTCTTCTTCGACTTCTTTGCCAACTTCATTGCCGAGTTCAACACCCAGACCGTTATTGTCAGCCTTGAGAACCTCAACTTCGCAGGTAGCGGCTTCGTCATCAAGCACTTTGACTTCTCCAAGGACCACGTCTTCTTCGTCATCAAGCACTTTGACTTCTCCGAGGACCACCTCTTCGCCGTCTTTAAGGCCGGGTCACGAAAATCACCAAAGATGTTTTGAGTGGAGTGGAACGGTTGAAGACTATGATGAATGGTTGTGTGGGATACACTATGGGGTGTTAACTACACTAAGGGAAGTCACCACCTACATGCCGGTTGATGGGGACGAGGGTCAAATTCAAGGCAGTTTGATTGAAGAAATGTCTCAACAGCTGCAAGCCTTGGAAGAGGAGTTGGCTCAAGTTAATCGGTTGCTCTTGTGGGTACGTCAGAGAAAACACCTTGAAGCTGCGGTGTGTGATGTTGGACCACGGGTTAAAAAGGTTGGTGATGTTGAAGGTGAAAAAGAGGGTAGTAACCCCACTCCGGTGGGCGACAGCATGGTAAGTAGTTGTCCGGTGTTGCAAACGTACAACGTACCTCTCCAGGAGGTCAGAGCCAATTTAGCAATGTGGCGACCGGCCATCTTGTCTGAGTATGAAAGCTTGACCAAGATTACCAAGGCTGTAAGACCTGTTCACAAGGACACCTTGAAACACCGAACGGATGTGGAGTATGCACCTGGTAAATTGGTAACCACGGTTAAGGCTCCCCATGGAAAAATGAAGGCAAGGTTGGTAGTATGTGGAAACATGGTAGAAGCTTCAGTGGATGCTCAAACCGAAGACCAAGAGAAGGAAGGGTTGTCTGAGTATCTCAACAAAGCCAAGAGCAGGGATACATATGCATCGGGAGCGGACGCAGCAACCATCCGTGCCACTCTTCGACATGCGGGAGACCGGGGATGGGGGTGCGCAAGCATCGATGTGCGGACGGCCTTCCTGTTAGCTCCTCGTCGAGGCACTGGTCTACTGGCAGTTCGACCACCAAAAATCTTGGTTTCTGCCAACATCTGCTCATCTAACGAGATGTGGTTGGTAGACCGAGCTCTATACGGACTACAGTCGAGTCCCAGTGACTGGGGCGCCTTTCGAGATGGGGAGATGAACCACTGGACTTGGTCAAAGGGGAATCGAAGCTTTCGGCTGGAAGGTACCCGGGAGCCTAACCTTTGGAGAATCAAGGAGAAGCTGGCAGGGGACACTGAGAAGACGGTGGGTCACATCTTGGTCTACGTTGACGACATGCTTGTCACCGGGGAGACCGAGGTGATTGCGGCCTATCTGGACCATGTGAAAGGAATTTGGCAGTGCTCACCACCCGAATGGATATCAAAGGACGGGCCGGCAGTCAAATTCTGCGGCTTTGAGCTCAAGGAGGGGTCCAATGGATCCATTCAAGTCAGCCAAGAAGCCTATGCGAAAGAACTGGTGAAAAGGTATGGGTGCACCAAGACACGCCCTGTGCCTATGTCGCCAACTATGGCATCCAACATCCCTGAAGAAAAGGACTCTGAGTTGGACCCGAAGTTAGTACGCCAGGCCCAGGCCATCACTGGCGAGATCCTCTGGTTGGCACTGAGAACTCGACCAGACCTTGCTTTTGCTGTGGGGGTTATGGGACGACATTCCACAAAAAACCCAGGATTTGTATGCCAACTTGGGAAGGAGGTCGTGGAGTACATCAACGGTTCCACGGGTACAGCTCTGGAGTACGGTCGGTGTGATCCGACTGATCGAGGACCTGATGATGGTCTTCCTTTTCCTCGATCAATGAGAAGATTGGAAGCCTATGCGGATGTCAGCTTCGCGCCTCAAGCTTCGAGATCTATCCAAGGAGTACTTGTGCTCTACGGTGGCTCTCCGATCATGTGGGAATCAAGCAGGCAGAGCTGCATTACCTTGAGCACAGCAGAAGCTGAACTCCTTTCGTATGTGGAGGCGATGGGCATGGCTGATTCGATGGGGTGCATCCTTGAGGCCTTGGAAGAAGTGCCTTGTCAACTCACTGTGGTCGAATCTGACGATGAAGAAGCGTCTGAGGAGCTCTACATCCGGGAGAAGATCAAGGTTCCGGAGGGCGAGTTCATAGAAGGAGCGATGGGGATCCAACGAGTCATCTATGGCGACAACACTGCGGCCATTTCGGTAGCGAGTGCTCCGGAGGGGGGAGCTTGGAGGTCACGCCATTTGAGGCTGAGGAGTCATTTCCTACGAGAACGTCTTCGACATCGACAGTGGTGGTCAATTCGACATTTACCAGGTTCTCTGTTGGTGGCTGATTTCCTCACCAAGGCCATCAGTGCGAAGCAGCGTTGGACCTATTTCTTCAAGTTCCTCAACGTGGTCACTACAGCAGCAGCGCAGTTCTCTGAAGAGTCCGAGGAGCAGGAGGTTCAGGTGAAGACCCTTAAGCTCAACCACGAAATTATCAAGATTGCGGCGGCCAGTTTAGGCTTTATGGCAACAAAGGCCATGCAGCCAGGACAACCTGGGTCGTATGATGAAAAAACTAAAACTCTTGTGTTGCTGTGGTTGTGGGTATACCTGAAGAAACGGGTAGAGGGTCTAAAACAACAGGGTCTGTTGCCGATGAACCCCGAAAAATGGAAACAGGAACTTGAAAAACCAGGTTCTACTCTCAAGGCGCTGAGGATCAGTGAGCGAGCTTTGTCCCATGACTCTGACGAGAAGGACTTTCAGTCTAAGTTGTCGAGTTCGGAAGCTGTGCAACTGGCTCACGATCTACTTCTAGAACTGCCTGCTGAAGAACGAGAAGGTGGTTTATCTGACCGAGATTTGAAGGATGAGAAGTACGTGGAGGAAGAAGCGATAATCCGTGTTCGAGCTCTACGTCTACATCCTGATCAAGACCTACAGCCTGATGATGAATTTGATCTACCGGCTGATGACGCGCTGTGGGATGATCTCGGACTATGTCCTGATCTTTGTCAACCTCGAGGTGTCCCTGGGGGGTCGCCACTTTTTCCTGAAGGAGCTCTACATTCCGAAGGAGCTCTACACCCTGGAGGAGACCTACACGATGGTGGTTCTCTTCGATTTTTGGTTTCAAGGGATGATCGAAAGGGGTCGTCTCTACATCTTGGAGGAGACCTACGTGATTGTGGTCCTCTTCGGCGTGGGGCGCCGGTGGACGATCGATGGAGTTCGTCTCTACGTCCTGGAGGAGGTCTATGTGATGGTGGTCTTCCTCAACCTTTTGATTTTTCACCAGGGAGCCGACATGGGTCGTCTCTACTTCCTGAAGGAGCTCTACTTCCTGAAGGAGCTCTACTACATGAGTCAACTGGTCGTCATTTTGACGAATTTGGAGGTGGTATGGTCGTCAGTGGATCGCTGGAGGGGCCCTGGACGCTGGAGGAGGAGAATGGTCGTCAAGGGGCCCAATCTTCGATTTCTTCGTCTTCAAGTTTGGGACTACATCCGGGAGAAGATCTACATGGGCGACTCACGCCTTGCACTTCCTTTGAAAGCGGGTCTTTGAATTTGAGCACGCAGTTGTGCACTCATGCATTCTGCGTGGTTAACCTGGAGCATCCAGGTCTGAATTCAGATGAAACTCTGGACGAATGGAAGAAACATGGAACCCCAAGAGTGATTCATGCTCCTGAAAGGGTCATTGAGTTTTCCGAAAGGGTTAGAAGTTCTTCCGTTCCAACTGAGGTTCGAGGTAGCTATGGGGTTTCCATAGACGGTGGGAGGGAGAAAGTGAATTCTCCTAGGGTGAGTCAGCAGATGCTGAAGGCAGCACCTTCGTCCTCTCACTGTTCAATGGTTCAACGTAGTTGCACACCTCCGCAGGTGGCTGTCCAAGGTAGTCTGACTGTAGCCGTGCACGGTGGGGGGGAGAAAAAACTTTCTCCTAGTGTGAACCAAAAGATGCTGAAGGCGACTTTTTCGCCCCCTCACTGGTCAATGGCCGTAGCCTTGGTAGCAGTAGCTGTTTTTCCCCGTAGAGTAGCTGCTCAACCGAGCGAAGATGATGGCTTCGGCGCTGATGGAAACTTCCTGCTGCTGGCCTATGGATTGGCGATGGCGATCCTAGGAGCTCTGATCGCAAGATGGCTGACGCCTATCACCGTGGTGGCTGCTCCTTTGAGGTCTTCTTCGTCTTCAAGGTCAACGAGAACTTCGAGACGGTCGAGGTCTTCGAGGCGGTCGAGGTCTTCCAGGCGATTGAGATCTTCCAGACGGTCGAGATCTTCCAGGAGGTCGAGAACTTCCAGGTCTAGGTCACCTTCGGACCATCCTCCTACAACAGAAACCAGGGGAGATTCACCAGATGAACTACGTGGAGTTTGGGCACCATGGCCTCCTGCTCCTGGAAATGCACCACGTGACGGTGAAAGCACAGAGAATGAATCCTTGCCTGGGAAAGGAAAAGGAAAGGATGGAAAGGGACGTTTGGCTGCCTTCAATGACTTGGGCATCTACCGTCCTGGCCTTGCAGTGCGGCGAAGACCGCCCTCGAGGGCCACTACGTCTGATGCTGGCGAACAAACGCCAGATGGTGAACCAACGGAGTTTCAAGGAGAAACTCAATCTGGTGGTGCTCAACTGAGCCCTGGACCAACTACGCCTACCACGCCCGGGACGGATGACACTGAGGTGTCTGGAAGTGTGAGCGCTGGGGGCACCTATCATCTTCGTGGAGGTGGTCTTCGCCCTCTCTGTCCAGTACCAGAAATTGGAGGTGATATCCCGAAGGCGGCATCACTGGTTAGGCCACCTTTGCCTACCGCGGGCTCACCTGCCGCCTTCGCGGCGTCAAGCTCTCAGGGGCCAAACTACAAGGCTCCACCAGCCGCTTTGGGACCACCACCACTTCCCTCGGTATATGTTACTGGGTGTGGCACGGTGTACCACCTGAAAAATACATGTGGGAAGTTGAAGTGCGCAAGGCGCATCTTTGAGCGCACGGCCTGCGACCAATGTGGCTCTCTGGCCTTCAATGGGGGCAGAAACATTTGGTTGGTGCACGGCCGTTACCACCTGGAACTTCATGGAAACCTGACGGTTTCAAATACCACCACATGGGCTCCGTGCTTTGAATGTGGAGGTGGATGAGATGGAAAAGGTGAACTGAGAGCCGGTTGTCTCAAAGAGACAAGGGGGAGTGCGGTTACATTACAAATTTGTGACCCTGTCGCACTCAGGTTTTGCAAAGCTTTGCCTGGCCAATGCGTTGGCTCAAGGCGACTCAAACTGAGATTGCCAAGGAAAACAACGAGGTGTCATTGGGACGCGACTTTAGTTGTTGGAGCCCATAACATTGGGACGCAACTTTAGTTGTTGGAACCCATATCCACCTGGTTTGTAGCCTCCCGTAAAATATATTAAAATGATGGATGGTACCATTAAAATGATGGATACCCAATCCAACAAAAATGGTTTTATCATGTTTTCTCCACCCAATACCCTCTGGTAATTTAACATAGCTATTGAAAATCACCATTTTGAATGGGAAAATCCACTATAAATGGTCATTTTCAATAGCTACGTTAAATTACCAGAGGGTAGCTGGATTTTCCCATCCATAAAACCATCCAAGCTATTGGAGAAGCGGCCGAGAAGCGGAGGCCGCAGCTCTGTGAAGGTGGTGCTCCAGCCAGATTGCAACCCCTTGGAGGGGCCATGGAGGCGCTTTGATGAGGCTGTTGTTACTGTTGTTATAGTTATAGCAGTTATAGCATGTTATAGCTGTAGCTATAGCTATAGTCATGGTTATTCTTGTGATTATTGTTGCTATTGTTGTTATTTTTGCTATTATTGCATGTATCATTCCTTGTAGTAATGTATTATAGGAGGATGATGATGATGATGACGACGACGACGACAACGTCGACGTCGACGACGACGGCGGCGGCGGCTGTGACGGCACGGCGACGGCGACAACGACGACCACGACCATGACCACGACCATGACGACGACGAGGGCGGAACCCTCACAGATCACCGCTTTTCCTAAATTGACGCAGTCCCATATAACTATAGATATGGTTTTCGTAATTTTCATGTATTGTCGTGTTTGAGTTTGAAAATGGGAATTTCCCAGTTTTTATTTTTGAGTAGCATTTGGTATCTAGTTGCGTCGATAAACGCTTCATGAGAAACACGGCCCGTTATTGAACACATCCTGCCATTGACGAGGCCTTTGGAGTGGAAGAACAGGTGGCTGCCCAAGATCCAAGATGCAGCATGTTCTTTCTTGGGTGGAACATGTTTTCTCCAGTGACAACACAAGAAACTCAACAAAATGAAAAAAATCAGGCATTTCCTCAGACAATTTCTGTGGTTGACAACGGATTCACATTCTAGAAACATATGTGCCATGATGAAAACTTGGATTACAGTAGATTCAGTAGATCAATCAAACCATGACTTGGGGAACTTAATCCACCAATCCCGACTTGACCATGGCACAGACATAGTAATCGGTAAACAATCGGTAAAGGAACATCTTTAATAAATACCATGGAATAACATCACTGGTTGGTGGTTTGGAACATTTGGATTATTTTTCCATTCAGTTGGGAATGTCATGATCCCAATTGACAAATTCCATCATTTGTCAGAGGGGTAGAAATCACCACCAACCAGATGAAATGACATTAAATCACCATTAAATCACTATTAAATCACCACTAAATCACCATTAAATCACCATTAAACCACCATTAAACCCTATTAAATCACCATTAAACCACCATTAAACCCTATTAAATCACCATTAAACCACCATTAAACCCTATTACATCACCATTAAATCACCATGAATATGGATTTATCATCCAGTGGGGATGACCAATGGCCATCGCAATAAAGGTCTCGCTCTTGGGATGGGTGGTCTGCCTGTTGCCCTACGGCCTAGTGATCGAACTCCAGGATTTCACTCCGGGCGACACGGTGACTGTGGGATGGTGGGCTATGGGCAGTTTGGTCCATGGGCCAAGGGGATTTTATGGATGGTTTACCCTCTGGTAGTTTAACATAGCTATTGAAAATGGCCATTTATAGTGGATTTTCCCATTGAAAATGGTGATTTTCCATAGCTATGTTAAATTACCAGAGGGTATATATTTGTTGTTTAAGTAGTTTCCCAGCACCTTTAAAAAATCCCATGGTTTCTTTTTTTTTTTCCGGTAAGGTTGTGGGAACTTGCGACCGGGCCACACCTGGGTCTCGAGATGTCTCAGCAACTTGTCTTGTCTCGCACTGAATCTGTGATAGGAACAGTGGGTGGATGTTGGGGATGTCCCAGGGCGAATATTTTTCCATGTTTCGACCACCCACCGTAGCTCAGTAGGTCATAACCCCACGCATAAATGGGATATATTAGGATATGATATAACGATATACTGTATATATATATATATGTATAATGTTGTCATAAACAGTTTATATGATTATTTTTTTTCCGTTATACAACCACAATTGAAGCACGCAATTGTTCGGTATTGGGAATCCATAACGAGTCCCGTCCCGTTTCGAAAACAGGACGTGGAGCGGGACGCCTTTTGCAAAGAGACCAATTTGTTGAAAGCTCTGCAGGTGGGGATCGACGGATCGCAGATTTCCCCTCTGGTTATTGAACGGTTTGTAGTATTGGAACATGATTATTTTTAATATCATGATTTTTATCATCTATAAATATCTATAAAAAATAAATGTTCACCAATTTTCCAAAGTCAAATCACCAGAGGATAAGGATAAGTCCCACAAACGGGGAAAACACATGTCCATTTTTGGGTCATGAATTGACCACATCAAAATGATGGACACATCAGAGGACCAGAGGATGATCGTTGACAAAAGAGTGCCTTTGCCAAGCCCTAGCTGGCATCAAACCTGAGGTAATTTATGATGCACAAAAAACATGTCACAGATCAGTGAGAGAGCCAGGTGAGGCCCCTATAGTTTTGTCTGTTGGGTTATAAAACCATTAGCTATAGTTAAGTTTGCCAAGTCATAAGTCAACTTATCTATCTAAATCCCATCAAATCCCATCAAATCCACCATTTTCTCCCAAACCAGGAGGGATATCCCCTATATGTACTCTATTAACCACAGAACTCGCCTAGGGGGGAAATCTCCAGGCTTACTCTGTGGGAGATGAGCTGAACTTCAAGGCGCTCGGAGATTTCAACGGCTGTGGGTAGAGATATGTAGAGATGCCCATTTAAGATCATTTAAGATCAAGTATGACTATGATTCAATGATTCCTGCACTTTTGTATCATTGAAAAACAATCATTTCATGTTTTCTTGACAGGCCAGGGTGCTGCAAGATCTCCTGCGTCCCAGGTGTTGACTGCCAGCTTTGTGGGGGACATTGAAGTCCAGGAAGTGACTGCGGCGAACACCTCAATTTCGGACTGCGGCGAAAACGGCTTGGGGCAGCCTGCAGCCGGCGCGGGTAGGGAGGAGAATGCAACATCAAAATGATTGGAAACATGGGAGGGCTGAAAGAGGCACCACTTTTTGCTGCCAGGACCGTGAGTTGCTTGCAGACAGCGTGCTCAAGGTCTCCAGCCTGGATCGTGTGACAGAGAAATCTGTTGGAACCAGGATTTTCTGTTGTTTCCAGAGGTTCAGAATGGGACAAGTCACTTTAATGATCCACATGAATATCTTGCGATCCAATGTTTGCATGGCCATTTTGGATTCTTGTCATCTTCCAGCCACAGGCTGCCTGGGTCAACTGCCGAGCTCCGTTGCTGGCCCGCTATGACATGGTGGACAGCACTCCGCCCGAGTGGATCCAAGCCTATGAGGACGAACTACTTTTTTCGGTCCGAGATATGTGGCTTTTTCTCTCAAGATCATATGATGTGAATATGATGTGAATTCTATATATTCTATGATATCCCAATTATTGGAACCCACAATCAGATCTATCAACTAACTATTCGATTTTCTTAGTATCATCCCCTTATATATGGAGGTCTCCTAAGTCATGGGGGTACCCCAAATCATCCAGTCGTCATGGATGAGCATCAGTTTTCGTATTGAAACAAGCATGGTGACTTGGGGATCCCCATGACTTAAGAACCCCCCCGGCTAAAGCATAAAAAAGTGATTGGTCTGTTCTATTTCCGCAAAGATTTTTGGGTATTGGGGTAGCCCAAGTTTCAGAAACACCCATGGATGTGTCTCAAATTACGGGACCGCCTTAAACTTTGCAATTCTTTTACGGAACACACTCCAAATTTTGTACACAATAAACCATTAATCAGCCATTTATCACCATTATTAACCATTACCATAGCCTATTACTTGTATGCAATCATTATTAAACCATAGGATTTGGGAGTCCACATTTTGAACCAACCCCTTCAGCAGGAAGCTTCCAACTTTCCAGACCGATCTGTCGCAGGAATCTCAGCGCAAGCTGCCAGTCTCCGCAGTGGATGCGGCTGAAGCGAGATTGATTCAGCCGGGGACACCAGTGATGGGGTTATCCAGATGACTGGTTGGGATGGCACAGATGTAGTTTTTTTTGTTTTTCTTAGGATTTAAAGCCAAAGCCCAGATAGATGTAGTAATGGGCCCAACTATCCAAAGGCACCTATTGAAAGCCAGACCTAGATTTGGGTTCACAGCTGAGGTCCGGATTTTGGAGATAGATCCACACATGAACTGGTCATTGTATGGTCAAAGTGTTTAGGATCCCAAAGTGTCAAATATCCCCAAGTGACCATCGAGAGAAGGCCCATGTGGTGCATGTGGGACGGTGCCCACATTTATCCAAATCCATCCAATTCTTACTCTAAATTACTCCAGGATGCTTTAGGATCTTCCGAGATTCTATATATTATATATACAGTTCTATGATGGTGTGATAGCATAGTCACAGTCTACAGTATACACATGTAATATCATAATATCATGTAATTGTAAAAACTCCTGCAGTAAAACCATGTATTGTACATATCATCGATCTACCCGATAGCGTTGGTTCAAAACAGTGCTGACCGCTTAACGGTTTGTATAGTATTTACCCCATTGTCGGTTGACCTGGTAAAATACAGGTTATCAGCCGTAGTCTCACTACTTTGCTATGGGGACCCCAACTGACCTTCCTCTCGCCGTTCCAGGGTCAGGTCCATCGGCCGTCGCTGTGCCCAATGTGGCCGGGGGCAACCCCGAGCCGATGGATGACGAAACAATGTTCCAACCCGTTGTAGCGTACTTTACCTTCATACAAAACAACCTGTCCCAGATCACTAGTGGGAATACCCTGCAAGTCATGAGGGAAGCTGAACAGAGGCACCTTCAGATAATGCATGGAGTAGTTGACTCAATTCGAAACGAATGGTCAAGTAGACTCGTAATGCAAGAGCAGGAGTATGAGCAAAGGCTGCAGGAGGTTGAAGGTAAGGCCATTAGTGCTGTCAACGAGGAAAGGAAACGAGGCGACGAGTTGGAGGTCAGGTTGAATCAGGCTCAGGCATCGCATGACAAAAGAGTAGAGGACTTCAAGGTAGAGGCAAACACAAAGCATGATCAGAAAATTGCAGAGGAAAGGCAACGTATCACTAGTGAATTCGAAGCTTCCTATGCACAGACAGTTGAACATGCAAAGAATGCCATAGCTGCCACAAAGAAGCAATACGAAGATCAGGCTGCTGTTGATCAGGCCAGGTTCATCAGTTTGAGGACCGAATTCGAGAACTACAAGAAGGAGATGGCCGACAAGATCAACGAGGCAGCGGCTCAGAATCTTAGCCTTCAGGACCAAATCGATGATCTTCAGGAGCAGTTAAAGCATGTTGCCAAAGCGCAGCATGCCTCCGTTCCGAAAGCATCCGTCCAGAATGCCGAGCCGGCCGCTACCACTAGCGTGCCTCACTTCAATATTGCCACTCCTAGAGCATCCGATGCACAGGCTGCCAAAGGCAGTGATGAGCCGATCCAAGAGTTGAAAACGCCTGCAGTGTTGGCACAAGAAGCAAAAGCCAAGTTGGATGAGCTGCTCAAAGGTGGCAGTCCCAAACAGAAACCGGCTGTCGGCAACGGCCAGCCCCAATTGCCAACGCAGTCAGGGTTTTTCACTCCCACTGAAGCTATCAAAACTCCCCCAAATGACTCTCCTAAGAGCGTAACCAAGCAACAGCAAGTGATGGGTCCCTCAGATCTTATTGAATTGGTAAAAGCCTTAACCCAAAGGGAAGAAAAGGATAAGCCAAAAACTAAGGAGGCCGAAAGCATCAAGCTGAACAACATGCCCGCTCCGGAGTCGTATAGGACTTGGAAGAATCATGTCAGGGATGAAGTGAAAAGTTGCTCAGATCGCCCAGATGAGGCATGGCTCTGGCTCAATGAGGTGTACGATCAAGAGTGCACCAGAGAGCAGTTGGAGAAGAAACTCCAAGATCCTGGAAAGTTCCTCACGCTGGATACAAAGTTATCAGCAGCGCTCACGCGCTCAGCCGGAGGGGACCTTGCAACTAGGATCCTGAATTTCAAAGAGCAGCAATCCCGAAAAGGCATCCAGGTCAGGGGAAGGTATGTTCTGCTCATGTTTGAGGACTACTTCAAAACATCAGAAGAAGCAGGTAGCCTTTACAGAGTAGAAGATCTTTTGGGTGTTGTCAAAGTAGGCGATACTGTCCAGGATCTCCGAAGATTCATCAACAAATGGGATGCTACCCTAGCTGGCATGGCTGTCACCCCCGATGATGCTGTGTTAAGGGACATCTTGTTGAGGCAGATCCGACCAAGTCAGTTGCTGAAATATGACATCGAGATGTTTGATCGTGCACATGAGAAATCCCATGAAAAGTCTTATAGTTTTCTTCACCAATCCATGAAGAACTTGATCGACCGTGAACGATTGAGGGAGAACAGGAACCGCATCGCGGAGAAGAACAAGGCTGGGATCAAGGACACGAAGGCCGCACCCGCCAAAGGCGATGGTCGCGGTGGCCGAAAGGGCTCCCCAAGTCGTGGTAGATCGCAGGAACGAGGTGGCAAAGGTGACAAAATTTGCTATAAGTTCCAAAAGGGTACCTGTGATAAGGGGAAGAAGTGTCCATTCAAGCATGTCAAAGATGATAAATCTCGAACTCAATCACCCAGAAGAACCAAGACACGTTCACCATCAAGGGGCAACAAAGATGATAAGGGGAAGAAAATGTCCAAGGAAGAGATGGCCAAAACCCCATGTATCTATCATGCCCAGGGAAAGTGCAGACGTGGTGACAAATGTTTTTATAAGCATGATGACAAAGCCGCTGCCGCCACCAAAGACACCAAAAGGGCCAATTCACCCGCTCCCAAAAAGAAGAGCAAGGATTCCACAGCCGCTCCATGCCTGATCCAGAAGTTTGCATGCATCGTCCGAAAACAGCCGAAGGCAACTTCGTGCTCTGATGAGTCAAGTGTCAGCATGAAGCGTCTTAGATTCCGAAAGGCCCCACATGTGATCGAGGTGAAGGCAGTTGGTCGTCAAGTCCCAGTCAAGCACCGTCCAAGAGAGTTCACTAAGGTGTACAAGACAGCTGAAGATGTTCCAGTTTCATCTAAGGTTGAACAACATGAGGCTCAAGTTCGTGCAAGACAGCTTCAAGAAACCGTGAAACTTCATGATTCAGATGTTGCACCTAGTTGTGGGTTTTGTTGTTGGAATGAGGACACATGTGACATCACATGCAAGGAGTGCAGATTCATCAGCGGTCCCAAAGCTCTTAGAGACATCGGTCGTTTTCCGTCAATTGCCACGGCCGCGCCAAAGGCCGGCGTCAGTTGGCTTGTCGACTCAGGTAGTGAATCCGATCTTGTGTCCAAGGGTATGCTGAGGGATGTTAGCGCCAAGAACTGCCGTGCAGCTGAGCATCCGATTTCCTTAGTCACAGCCAATGGTTCGACTGAGGCTAACGAGGTTGCTGATGTCAAGTTGTCCGCATTGCCAGATCCCGTGCATCCGTATGTACTTGATCATACCCCAGCTGTGCTCTCTGTAGGAACAAGATGTGTAGATCAGGGTTACAGTTTTGTATGGCCTGCCAATGGCAAACCAATCCTAGTCCGTCCAGATGACAAGGTTGTCCAGCTCAAGATCGAAGGTCATGTCCCAGTCTTGGATGATAGTTGCAAGGTTTATCCCAAAGACCAATTTCAAAAGGATAAGCACCTTAGAAAGTTGTTTGCAATGCCGACCTCACGGTCGAGCTCGAAAGCCAAGCAGGACGAAGCCCAAGATGAAGAGCAGTTGGACGAGCTGGTGGAGGATGATGCTCAGCAGGAGTATGTCCAAAGCCGCAAGACTGAGGATTTGCTGGCCGAAGCTGCAAGTACCCAACATCAGTACACTCATTTCCCCAAGAACCCCTTTTGCAGAACCTGCCAACGAGCAAGAATGATGGCTCCTCAGGCACGAAAGAAAGGTGGTCAGAAGAGAATCGAAACTGAGGTGTTTGGTGACCACATCATCGGGGATCATGTCATCATTAAGAAAAATGTAGAAGAGGGTTTCAGGGGGGAGCAAGTTGCATTGGTGTTGAAAGATCTGCACACCCAATATCGGTATGTCTACCCTAGCCAGTCCAAGGACTCACAAAGCTGTGTTGATGGCTTGAATCACTTCATTGGATCAAAGGATGACGTTCAAGTCGTGTACACTGACAATTCCCCAGAATTGATCAGGGCCATCAAGGATTTGGGTTACAGACACCAAACTTCCATTGAATATGTAGATTCATCAAAGTCTTTTGCTGAGCGCGAAGTTCGTCAGATGTTGGAAGGTGCCCGGAGCAACTTGTTGCAATCAGGACTTCCTTTAAAGATGTGGCCATTGGCCATGCAGCATCATGCGACCGCGATCAATGCAAGCCCCCAGCTTGACGGCAGTGAATCCCCATGGCAACTCAGGTTTGGTGAAGAGTTCCCTGCAATGCACATTCCATTTGGTGCCAAAGTGTTGTTCTGGAATAACCCCAAAAGGTTGGATAACACATCAGGTAAACTCTCCCCAACAGCAAATGAAGGAATTTTCCTTGGGTATTACATCCAACCAGGTCATGATTGGAAGGGTGACTACTTAGTTGCCAAGCTGGAAGCCGCAGATTATCATGTCAACTGGGGTGCACTGACAATCCAAAGAACAAAAAGGTTGGAATTGCCATCCGAGGGTTTCATCTTTCCTTTGAAAGCTCTGATTGACTCGAAAGCACCCAAAGCCGACCGCCTTGAGGATCAGGTCATTCCGCAGACACCCAAAGCTGTGCCACTTGAGTCTAGTTTGCATCCGCCACAAGATGAGTACGAATATGAGCCAGGGACGCCTCTACCAGCCGACAGCGATGTCGAGCCTGATGCACCCGAAGCGCCCGTATTCCCAGATCTCAAATTGACCCCCAAAGGTGAAATTATTCCAGATGGATATCATTGGGATGGTCACCGGATTGTACGCAACTACAAAGGTTCAAAGCGTC